TGACCCAAAAAGCAAAATAAATAAATAAAAAAATAAAATTACACCCTTTCTGAAATTTTACTAAGTGAATTTTTGCGTTTATACCCAGCAACCAACGAATAGGTTTGACAATGACTAGAACAAAGAATAAATGAATAATTGTGGAGGAAGGTGAAGTCTGGGAGATTTGGCTGGTAGATCAGAGGGACAAAAATGACGTCAATGGGAGAGTATTTAAAAGGTCAGCGAATGATTTAAGGATTAGTTTAGTGAAATAATCAAATTCTGAGGGAATAGTTAGAGGAAAACAGATTCTACTGGTGCTGCCATTTCCTAGTGTTGATCTGTATCTTATCTTTTCTGCTGACCGAGAAAATCCCAGTCCTTGCTTCAGAATCCCCTGCCTAGAAACTTATACCTGGTTTTCTAACAGCCACTTGCTCATTTTTAGCCCTGACTGACCCCTACTGGGGTTTATTTTCATTTCTTCCCATCTCTGGTGTTTCAGAACAGCAGTTGTTTCAGAGGCACTGTAGTTGGTTAATGTTTGTGGAAACTCATTGAACCCAGGTCGCTTTTTCAGAGAAGGAGCCGTCTCACCACGCTTTCCTTTCCTTTCTATAGAGCTGGCAGAGGGTGCCTTAGACCTGCCCAGTGGAAAGCATCACCATCTAGGGCAGTGGTTTTCACAGATTAACGTTAGTGTTCAGCCATTTTCTGCCTGTGGAAAGGTCACTGCTGGTTAACACTTGGTTTGCGTGGATCAAGTGGCGGAATGGAGCAGGTCAGCGCTGCCCAAGATGCTCTGTGTAAGTGGTAGTATGTATAGTACATCATTTATTTATGGTTTCTGGGCCACAGCAGTGCTGGGGCTTATTTCTGGCTCCAAGCTCACTGCCCAAGGGTCGTTCCTGGGCGTACTGGGAGACCATACAGTGCTGAGGATCTAAGCTAGGGCTCCTGTATGCGGTGCACGCGCTCCAGCGAGTTCAACTGTCTCCCTGGTTCTGTGTACAACGTTTTTGCCAGAATGTGCTGAGTCACTTGTTAACAACACGTCTTAGTCACAAGCAGTACACTTTGTCATCCCTGAGCATTCTTAAATTTACCACGTATTATTTGCCAATACTGTGTTGTGGTATTTTAGAAAGTGAAGTTATTGCACAATAAAGATCGAAACATTACATAATGGAGACAAAAGAAGTCAAATAGCAGAACCTTTTAACTTTGTTCCAGTTGTTTTGGGGTCACACCTGGTAGTGCTCAGGGCTTACTTCTGGCTCTGTACACCGGAAACATTGTTGGCGGTGCTTGCTTGGAATGCCGGGGATTGAACCCAGGTTGACTGTGTGCAAAGCAGATGCCCTACCTGCTGACTATCACTCCAGACCCCACCTTTTAACTTTTTTTAAAAGTAAGAATAATAGAAGAAAATAGTGATAACAAGGAAGGAATTCAAGTACTCCTGCTTCAAATTTAGAAGAAATAAGGGGGAAAATGTGATATTTCAGAATGTACAATAAAAACAGAAAAAAAGAAAGGAAATTATTACAATAAGAACTTAAAGCTTGGTTTTGCTATAGCCCCTGGCAGTAAACTATGGCGTATGTGGACACCTTGTATGTGGCATGTTCTGAAATTCTGTCAAATGCTGCTCAGACTTCCAAACTTGCTAGTTATGTGTGCTCAAAGCATGGTAACCTTAGCAAATAAGCCAGTGGATTTTAGTGACATATTATAAGAACCATATTAACATAGTATGGTGGAACATTTGTTAACAGATGGTATCTTATTAAGATGGCATTCAGTTTAGTCATTTTCACACTTCATAGTGTTCACTGATGATTTCAGGCATCTGGAATCCCATATCTTAGCAACCACACCTTGCTGATTCTGTATTTTTGATTCAGTGAAGTTGCAAGATAACTGGAGCTGATGATTAGCGGGAAGCAAGATGGGTAGTTGATTAATTTTTAAGCACAGGATACAGCAAGTGCATACAAAAACGCCAGCTAAGGATTCTGGGGATTTAGAGGAAGGACAAGGCACAGTTGATTGAGGAGATAGAAATAATAGCAAGAAGGAAGGCATTGCCCTGAATCTTGAAGGAGTGAGTCCAGTTAGTGTCCAAAAAGCATCGACACATTTGTGGAACAGAAGTTTGGCTCAGAGAAAAGAGTTTGAGATCATAGTGGGTATAGCAGCCAAGGCTACGAGGAGGAGACAGAGTGAAAACTAGCCATTATATTGCTGGTATAAACGGAGAAGTTATACATCTCTAGATCTCCACCTCCCCCAATGTTTATTCAGTTTGAGCACATATTGGGTTTCTATATTTGTTGCTTTTCAGTTGCTTGCATAGTCTTTAAGAAGCCTTTCCTCTTTCCTCCCCGTGGAATGTATTATTTGTCCCAGAGGAAGAAAAGATTAGAAAGGAGTTTGGGGCCTGAAATTTTGGGAGCATGAAATAATCCCGGCGGCAGGATATAGCTGTGATCAGAATAGTACTTCAGGAGGATTAATATGGTGTGTGCCATAGGAAGCAGGCCCCTGGCATTGTCAAAACGAGAGATAAACGTTCGACATCCATAATCCGGAGGTTGTTACGCTGAGGGACAAAGGGTGGTGGTGGGAATCTAAGGTAAATGAACTATCGAGACTGGAAAGTGGGAAAAAAAAAAACAGGGATACTATGAGCAGAAACAGAAGAAATGAGTATGATCCTGATTTGAGATGGGGGGGGGGGAGGTTTGCTTATAGTGAACTAAACCACAATAAGATTTTCAGGGTCATTTCTAGAAATTAACTTTGAAATCTGTAACTTTCTTTTTTTCTCCTTTTTTTTTTTTTGCTTTTTGGGTCACACCTGGCAATGGAGAGGGGTTCCTCCTGGCCCTGCACTCAGGAGTTACCTCTGGCACTGCTCAGGGGACCATATGGGATGCTGGGGATTGAACCCAGGCTGGCTGCGTGCAAGACAAACGCCCTACACTCTGTGATATCGCTCCAGCCCCCCAGGAACTTTCTTTGATGCAGGTTGTGAATGGGCCAGATAAGCACAATCAGAGAGAGACCAAATGAGCCAGGGAGGACAGTGGTCCAGGAGCACCAGGAGGAACCGGTGGACAGAGGATTCCATCAGGAACGTTCTGGATGCTCAAGACACTTTTTGAGCCAAATGGAGAGAAATGTAAGATGATAGAGATTGGAAGAGAAAGTGGGCTTTGGCGTCCTGAACGAGGGCAGTTTCAGTGGCTATAGACAGAGGTTATAGAAAAGAAATGTGAGAAAATGGAACGAAGTCAATAGAAGTTGCTGAAAATGGTTTGGTGGAGAAGGGCAGAGGATAAGGTAGAAACTCGTGAGGACGGGGCTGCACCGGCAGTTTCTTTTCCGAATCCGTGGGTCTTGAGACCGTGGGAGCCAAGAGAAAGCTGAGGGCAGGGCTAGGTGGAGGCAAGAGGCTGGAGATAATTGATGGAGGGTGATCCTTGGGCCATAGCAGGTGATGCCCTTTAATGGAAGTCGAGCCAGGGAGGAGCGAGCCAGGTGAAGTGGAATGAGTTCACACGAGAGAGCCTGTGTTCTCAGTAAACTCAAAAGTTATATGACCTGCTTGGGGGGCGGGGGGGGGAAGGAAATGTGTATAGGATTATGGGCATGAAGAAAATGACTAAAGATGGAAACATCTTTTTGGGGTGAAAGATGTGGAGAACTAGACTGAGTACTGAGTACCGAGGATTAAGTAGTCAAGGCTCTTCGTGTTGGGGATGGCAGGATTTCTGAAGCTATGGATTCTGGACTCAGGCTTGGTAAGTGAATGCATGAGAAGTCAGGTGAGAGATGTGTAAAAGTCTCAAAAAAGAAAAAAAAACCAAAAAAGTCTCCAACAAAACAACAACAAAGCTGGAAGAAAGTCTTTAGAAGCAATGAAGAAATAGGAAAGGAAAAATCAGAAAGGAAAGCTGTGGATCATTTATTTCCTTACAACATTCAATGTCCCTTCCTATTAGTCGCCTTGTAAGTCTGTAACATTTAATACCTCTCCCTCACTTTGCTTATGATTTGCAACCAGTCTCATAGTATTCTAGATCGTGTGTTCTATAACTAAATCCAGGATGTAGCTCCAAAGTTAAGCACCTTCCTTACACCTGTGAGGCTCTGGGTTCAATCCCCAGCACCACTGAAAAGCAAACAAGACTACAAACAATGGAAACTACTCTCGAATATGTCTGTGCACGTGTATGTATAGATATATATGTTTAAGTTGCTAGTTATTTTCTTTCCCTTATCTTTTTTATATTTTCTTAGTTTAAATAATAAGCGTTTAGTATTAATTTTGTTTGCTTAGTTTTTTTTGTGGTCCTCCAGTGCTCAGAACTTAGTCCTAACTCAGCATCTAGGGACTAGTCAGCATAATGTGACTTAGGGGCACACATGGGGTGCTGGGGATTGAACCATGGTGGGTCATGTGCAAGGCAAGAACCCTATCTGCTGTACTATCATTCTAGCACGTAGTCTTCCTTTTTATTACTTATTTTGCAGCAACAGGGATTGAGCCCAGGGCCTCAATATTAGTTTTCTTTTTTAAGGACAGCCACAAAAAGATCATTTGCTCTAGGCACGTGACTAGCAAATGATGAGTCAGGTTTTTTGGCATAGACAAATAATACTTGAGTACTCAACCACTTTTTCTAGTCTCACTTGTTATGATTGTCCTAGAGCAATTTTTTCCAGTTGCCTAGTCAAATTTTAATTGCAACAACTAGCATCCGTATTGACCTTTAATGTTTCTAGATCATGTCCACACACATTATTTCCTTGAATCTTTACAGTTCCTCCTTTGAGGTTTGCAGTTATGTGTAGGGTGATGGTCTCTCTTACTTAAGTCCTTGAAATCTTGTTGCTCTAGAGTTTTACGTAAGCCCAAGAACTATATTCTTTTTCCCCCCTCCTCTCAAATTTGCTAAATCTGTTTTAGTAAAGAAGTTTTTATCATCACCTTTTTTTCCTTTTTCCAGGCCACAGAACTTTGTATGTGGGGGTTCGGATGCCCCTGGGCCGGCAGAGCCATCGGCACCACCGAAGCCATGGCCAGAAGCACCGGAGACGAGGACGGGGCAAAGGAGCCAGCCAAGGAGAGGAAGGTCCAGAGGCTCTGGCCCATGGTAACACCCTCGGGAGAGAGGGTGGGATCCGTGACTCGGGGGCTTGGTGAGGCAGAGGGAATGTAGGACGGACATTAGGCAGGTGCTCTGCATTCACTAGTCCTTCTGTAGAGTTTGCAGAACGTGCTTCCAAGAAGAAATGCCTGTAAGAATCAAAATTGTCTTGTAGGGATTGGGGAGATAGCTCAGAGAACTGGATCTCATACTTGGCATGTGGGAGTTTTGGGTTTGGTTCTTGATACCACATGGTCCCGAGTACCACCAGATTTGCCCCCCTAGCACCGAGCTAGGAGTTAGCCCCAAGTGTGCCCCCCGAAACAACCAACACAAAGTATCTTCTTGAAGATTTTCTATTTTAAGTTTCCAAAAAACAGTACTGTAGTAGGTGAGATCATTTGCTAGGGAATTAGTTATTACTTTTGACCATATTAATCAGATTTCTAGTTTCTTGCCATTTTCCTCAAGTGGACTTAGGTAATTTTTTTCCCCTCATAAAACTGCTTCCCAAAAAAGAAACTTTTTTTCTGGAAAGAAATCATTTTGATCTGCATTCAGGATTTGTCTTCTGTTTGTTCTTGAAGTTATAAAGCATCCTAGATGTGCTAAGGGTGTTAGAATGCTATTTCTGTTCTGAGTTAAGGCTGAGAGCAGACCTTTCTCTCTGGTTGGTTTTTCAGACACTCCATCTCAGCGTGTTCAGTTCATTCTTGGCACCGAGGAGGATGAAGAGCATGTGCCACATGAGCTTTTCACAGAGCTAGATGAGATCTGTATGAAAGAGGGAGAAGACGCAGAATGGAAAGAGACAGCCAGGTGAGGCGCTCGAGTAACCTGTGTCTAGATGTGCTTGGGCTGGCAACTGTGTACCTTTCAGCAAGTGACAGTCCCATCAGCCTTTCATGTCTTCCTGGCAGCGGTGGTTACTGAAATGAGGACTGCTTTTCCACAGTCCTCTGTAGGAAGATGTTTTCGTCACATCTATGCCAATTGACTTTGACCTTGGCACCGTGGGCGACACATGGACCTGCAGTAGGCTGTCTCTTTATTTGTTGGCGGCCAAGAGTAGCTCACAAGTCGCCCTGATGCTGTAGGCCTGACTTAGAAGAGGCCTCGATCTGGTCCAGCAGACATAACATATGTCTAGACTTCTCTTACAAGTGAATATTGGGCACTTTAGGCTTTAATTTGCTAGAAGTACCAGAAGTTTTAAGGCTTTAATTTCCTGAGGGAGAATCCAACCTCAGAGAAACCCTGTGAATTATAGCCGTCTTGATAGTAGGCTTTCTGACGAGTTGGCTGTGCTTGTGGAGGTTCAAACCCCTCAGGTTAGGGGCAGGGGTGATGCTGGAACAGGAAAGGCACTTGCCTTGCATCAGGCCAACCTAGGTTTGGTCCCTGGAGCTCCATGTGGTTCCCTCAGCGCTGCCAGGAATGATTCCTGAGCACAGAGCCAGAAGTAAGCCCTGAGCACCACCAGGTGTGGTCTCCTCCCAGAAACACCCTCAGATGAATAGGGCAATATCTCGGGCTCTAATAACGCACCACGGAGTCTCGTGGATGCAAAAATGGCATGCCGGAGCCCTGATAAAGGAGGCAAGTAGGTTATTAGCTAACAGTAGCTCCATTTCTCATCGGAATGGCTCTTCCTGAATGCCTGCTCTATCCATGGACATTCTTTTTGGATAGAGATGACTGAAAAAGCCAGTCGCCTTGATGCTAACCAAGAAGGCAATTAGTCTATTCATTCTGTCTTTGTAAACACTTAAAGGTCATACAGATAGACTTTTATTTAAAAAAAAAAGCAATATGAATGTGACTCAACAACTGTATCCAAACAATACAAATTAGATTTTTATTTTTGGAGTTCAGGGAGTGAATGCACAGCCTTATGCACGCAAGGCCTGCATGGTACCGAAGAACCGCATCCCCGCCCCATAATTATATTTATTTTTAAATTGTGTAATTATAGAAAATGAGAAAATAAAGATAAAATAAGGCAATAGAAATTATTTGTAATCCTACTATCGCAGGGATAATGAGGAATATAACATTTGGTGTCTTATGCTTCTGTTTTTATAAAATGAATATGGAATCAAACTTTATGCAGGTTTCCAGTGTCATTTAACCTACTTAGCAGAGTAGCCTGAAATATAGATTACAGTAGATTGCAGTGTTCAGTGACATTATTCAGATTTTTTCTTTGTCGATTGCATTAACAACTTCTTCTTGAGAAATCCTTGTTTTCCATATCTGGCACCTAGTCATTTGCCATGTTTTCAGGTGGCTGAAGTTTGAAGAAGATGTAGAGGATGGGGGAGAACGTTGGAGCAAGCCTTATGTGGCGACGCTTTCACTGCACAGTCTTTTTGAACTAAGAAGCTGTCTTATTAATGGAACAGTCCTTCTAGACATGCGAGCCAATAGCATAGAAGAAATTTCAGGTAAGGGTTGGTGAAGGAAATAGGAACTGTTCTATAAATTAAGAAGTGTGGTGTAGAGAAAATAATTCATGAAAGTCACTTGACCCTCCTAATGTCAGTGTTCATAGCTGTGGGACAGCTTCGAAACTAAGGAACTTCTGCATTTAGTTCACAAACTCATCATGGGTTTCAGAAGGCATGGTGTTTAGTCTTTCACGTGTGTGTGTGAAAAAATACTTTATATTCGTTCCTGCTACGTACCAATCATCCCCATTTAAAATTGAAAAAATGTGTATTTGAGACTAATAAGAAATTTTATTTTTATTATTTTTTAACCATAGTACCAATATTATTTCATAAGGACAATGTGGTGTTTAGTCTTTATTTACCTATTCATTCAGCAAACATTTACTGTACGCTTGATATTGTGTTGCTTGTAGGGAAATTAAAAATGAGGTGAAATTTTCACTCTCATTGAGCTCACCTTCTAGTGGGAAAAGTCGCTATAGAAACAGCAATTAATAAACATTTTATAAGCAGCAGTAGATATGTTCTGATAATAATTAGCGAAAGAGGCAACTGGGAGTTGCGCAGAAAAGAATTAAAGGTTTTTACAAGACAGCTAGGGAAGACATAGAAAATTGAGCCAGTTTACCCTCACTTCTTCAGCATGATAAAGGGAGATGCCTGATGGAGTCTTCTTATTTGGATGAATACCCTGTTGTAAGTACTCTTAACTCTCTGCATGGGGACCATGTGCTAATAAGGACTGACTATCGGGCTCCAGGATGTAATGAACTCTGACTTATCTCTCCAGCCCACTTCAGGTGTGTGTGAGCCTGTGACCACCTACCTCAGAAATGCTTCTGTCTTCCATGTGATCTCATCTGTCTCTCAGAGGATGTATGTCATTGGATTGGGTGCTCAGCACAATAATACAGGATATATTTGGTCTTTAATTTTGTAGGATGCTCAGGGATTACTCTGGCTCTGCACTCAGGAATTACACCTGGTGGGGCTTGGGGTGAGGGTGAACTATTGGAATGCTGGGAAATGAGTCCAGGTCAGCTGTGTACAAGGCAAGCACCCTAACCCCTGTACTATCATTTGGCCCCAATCCAGGATAATTTTGAAAGGACTTTTTTAAAAAAAATTGATTAATTTTTAATTGAATCACTGTGAAATACAGTTACAAGGTTTCATGTGTGAGTTAAAATCATACAATGTTCAAACACCCATCCCTCCACCAGAGCACATTCCCCACTACCAATCTCCCCAGTATATACCCCCTTTCCCACCCTCCCCCTGCCTCCCTGGCAGACAGTTTTCCCCATACTGTCTTTCTACTTTTGGGCATTATGGTTTGCAATACAGATACTGAGAGGGCATCACGTTTGGTCCTTTATCGACTTTCAGCACACATCTCCCATCCCCACCGATCCCTCCAACCATCATTTTCTTTTTGATCCCTTCTCTATTCCAGCTGCCTTCTCCCCCCTGCTCATGAGGAGGCTTCCAACTATGGAGCAGTCTTTCTGACCCTTGTGTCTACTATCCTTGGGTGTCAGTCTCATATTATGTTATTTTGTACTCCAATTTTGTGAGTGTTTTTGTTTGGGAGGCCATACCCAGAGGTACTGAAGTGACTCCCAGGCATGATACTCAAGGGGTCATCCTGACATCCTGCATCTTGGCAGTGCTTGCAGGACCACACAGCACTAGGGACTAAACTCAGAATGTTCGCCTGCTAAGCTGTAGCCCTTTGATTGATCTCCCACCCCTGAGGAATTTTTCTTTTGCAAACTTTAAGTGATAGGAGAGTCAGAAAAAAAATAGATAGACATATATATCACTTGACTTAATCACTTGACATCCTGTTACTCATCGATTTGCTCAAGTGGACACCAGTAACGTCTTCTTTCATCTCTGTCGCGTGCTAGTGTAGCCCAATGGCGTCTGCTCATTCTTGGAACACAAAGAGCCACAAACCAATCGTTTTTAGGTCTTGATGAAGAAGTCTGACCATCTTGTAGGTGGGTGGCCACACGATCTTTTGACATCCCGTGGAATCCAGTCCACAACGGAATCTAGTCCAGCAGTCATCTCCAAATCTCATTATGTGTCCAGCCCATCTGATTTTGGATGCCTTGGCAAATGAGACAGAATCCCTGATTCTTGACTGTTTACGGAGGTCGGAACTCTGGATTCTTTCTCTCATTTGAGTGAAGTGTCATACTCCAAGCATAGTTCTTTCAATTCCTCTTTGGGAGACCCAAATAGCATTCTCATCCTGTTTTCGTAGGGCCCAGGTCTCTGAGGCGTATGTTAATGCAGGAAGAACAGTGGAATTGAAGAGATGTGCCCAGAGCCAGAGGTCCTTCATCCTCTTAGCTATTTCTTCGACACTCTTGAAGGCGTTCCAAGCCACTCTCTTCATCCTGCGCAACTCAGGTGCCAGGTCATTCGTCATGTTGACTACTCGACCTAGGTACACATAACTGTTTAATTCAGAGATGTTCATTCCATTGAGAGTGAATGGAGCATCAGGAACGAGACTGTTTCTCATAAACGTTGTCTTCATGAGATTCAGCTGTAGTCTGACCTTTCCACACTCATGGTTGAAGTCAGCCAGCATTTGTGCTGCTTGGCTAATGTTTGGTGTTATTAGAACAATGTCATCAGAGAAGTGGAGGTGGTGTAGTTGCTGACCGTCTATCATCACTCCCATTCCTTCCCATTCCAGTCATCACATGACATTCTCGAGGGTGGCACTAAAGAGTTTCGGTGAAATGGTATCACCCTGCCGAACCCCTCTCTTGATATGGATGATCACTTCCTTGTAGAATGGTGAGATCTTGGTAGTGAATCCATAATACAGGTCACGGAGGATCCTGATGTATTGAGTTTGAATGCCCTGTTTGACTAGGGCTTTGATGACTGCTTCAATCTCAACAGAATCAAAGAAGATTTAAAGAAGTTTAAATCAATGAACGTTAGACAGAGTGGCATCTTGAGCTCCCGAGAAACCTCAGTGAGCTTGGTTATCATGTGGATATGGTCGATCATGCTGAATCCTTTTCGGAACCTGACTTGCTCGCATGGTTGTCCTTCATCTAGTGTTCTGCCAATCCTATTCAGGATGACTTGAGTGAACAGCTTGTAGACAACAGACAACAGGCAGATCAGGCAATAGTTGCCAGTGTCGTGGATGTCTCCCTTCTTGTACAATAGTACAGTCCTGCTGGTTTTCCATTGGGATGGAACCTTGCATTCAGACAGGTAGCATGTGAAGAGCTAAGCCAGTGTATTGATGAAAACTGGCAGCAGGTTCTTCAGGTGTTCAGGTATGACCTTGTCTGCGCTGGGGGCTCTTCGCTTCTTTACTGACGAAATGGTGTGTCGAATTTCGGAAGGGAGAACTTTGGGAATGACATATCCATCCTGTGGAATTTGGTATGTGGGCAGGTGGACATGGCTATCGAAGAGATCCAAGTAGAAGTCGTGGATAATATTCTCCATTGTCCTTCTGGAAGATGTGAGAGATCCATCAGGATGTTGGAAGGCAGTCATCTTGGTCTTGTAGTTGGCAAAGGACAGGCGGACATTGCGAATGCTTTTCCTGGCTTCTGCTGCATCTGCCAGCACTGTTGCTCTTCTCTCTTTGATATCTTTGATTATTTCTCTGCACTCCTTTGCGAGCTCGGACGTTTGCTTGTGATTGCCTGAGGCTTGCGCCAAGCCACGTTGACAAATGAGCTCAAGAGTTTTCGAAGACGGGCTAGAAAGATAGCTCAGTGGGTAGGGCATTTGCCTTGCATGTGGCCGACCCAGGTTCGATTCTCAGCATCCCATATGGTCCCCTGAGCACCGCCAGGGGTAATTCCTGAGTGCCGAGCAAGGAGTAACCCCTGTGCATTGCCAGGTGTTACCCAAAAAGGAAAAAAAAAAGAATTTTCAAAGACAGTCGTCTTTTTTGTGGCTATCTCTCTCTCTCGGCATTCCTTGCACAATCATGGAGGTGCTGAGCCAGTCTATCATATTTCTCGTCAGTGTTGTCAACGGCGGCATCTTCCCATGTTGCCGCAATAGTGCCAAACAGCTCCCAGTTGATAGTCGTTCTGGGAGTTTTCTTCTTAAACTTTGCAGCCCTTTCTTCCCACTCCATGAAGTAGAATTTTGCACAAAGGAGATGGTGGCCCAATCCCATTTGGAATTTTGGGACAACAGCAGCATTGGTTAGGCAAAACCCTCGATTGAATATCATGTGGTCAATTTCATTGTGGAATCATCCGCCCAGAGACTCCCATGTCCAACGTTTATATTTGGTCTTCTGGAATTGTGAGTTACCATGGATGGTCTTGGTCGATGTGATGAACTCAGACAGTCTCTCACCCTGATGGTTCCATTCTAGGCCATGGGTCCCGATGTGGAATTCTTCGGATGATCTTCTTGGTCCTCTCTTGGCATTAAAATCACCGACAATGATCTTGTAGAAGGTGTGGTCTTCTTTATAGAACTTCTCCAGCTCCATGTAGAACTTCTCAATTTCTGCTTCATCATAATTGGATGTTGGTGCGTAGACAATGAAGATAGAAACTGCCAGCAGGGAGCCACATCTATTCAAGTGTAATCATCTGATTCGGGTTGTTAGACATTTGAATGAATCAGTGCTCATAGCCAAGTTCATGTTGACAAGGACACCAACACCACTGATGCCTCTTTTGTCGCATGTTCCGAGGAACAGTTCTTCTCCAGTCTCGAAAACAGCGTGATGTGATTGATGCCTTCTCGTCATCGTCAGACCAATGATGTTGTACTTGATCTTTCACGCTTGCAACATTAGGTTATCCCATGCCAGCATATGTGCATTGAAAGTACAGACAGTCATTTTTATCCTTCTTCATTTTGGCATCCTAGTTCGGCCTTGAGATTTTATCAGCCTCTCCTTCCTCATCCTTCTTAATGCTGCCATATTGGTGGCTTTTTCAGGGTCAAGGGAATGAGATCCATTGTATTTACTGGTTTTGGCATATTGAATATGCCACAGATCGCTTGCCAGGCTGTGTCGTGTGGGCAGGTTATTCTTGGTAGCTTGCCAGGCTCTCCGAGAGGGATAGAGGCTTTTAGTGCAGCCTCTAATCACCTTTGTAGGTGTTCCCATGGTTCAAACCATATTTGAACCCTATCAAATATGGTATGGTAATCTTGGAAGAGGGGTATTAAGTGTCTTATGATGTGTCGTGTGGCCGCTTTGCAGCCATGCAGTCTGGAAAGCATACAGGAGTGTGGCAGTGGCTGGGTAGTGGAGGTAGTGGAGGTCTGCCAGTGAGGTATTTATCTGGTACTGGTAGGGTGGGTCTTCTGTGTATAATCCCTGGGTCACCGGAGGTTGGTGGAAGCAGACAGGGCAGGGTAGGGTGGGTCTTCTAGTTTTAATTCCCTGGTCTCTGGAGATTGGTGGGAGCAAGCAGAGGATCTCTGTTCCCATGTCCCGTTGAGCCTGGAGTCCAAGGTCACAGAGTTCCACTTACTTGGTTCTGTGGGGCTTCACTTTTGTGTCTTGGCCTGAGATATATATATATATATATATATATATATATATATATTTGGGAGAACGGAGCAGGCAAAGAAGGACTGGAAACATGGAAACATGCTTACAGTGTGGGGGCAAGGAACTCAACAATATAAGGATTAAAGATAAACGTGGATGCAGCTTGAATAATATATATCATATATACTCACATATGTGTATGTGATTGGGTGCTTAGTTTATTATTCTTACGGGTTTTATGTATATGAAACCCATATATATGATATGTATTTGTATATATATCATATATATAATATATTTGGCATTGGGCCACACACAGAGATGCTTACTTTTCACTCCTGCTGCTGCACTCCAGAATTAGTCCTGGTGGTGCTCAGGACACTATATGGGATGCTGGGGTTGAACTGGGTCAGCTTTGTGCAAGGCAAGCACCTTACATGCTGTGCTATCCCTTCGTCCCCACAGCTTGGATATTTGAAATAGAATTTGTTCATTGCTTCTAGCAAGTATTAGTCATGGAGCTGAAACCTTGGGAAATCTTGGGAATTAAGTCTGTAGGATTGAAGTAAAACTGCCGTGGTTTATCTGTTAGATACGTGTCATATTTATTAACTATATATCAAGTCTTGACTCTGAATCAGCACCTTATGTATATTATCACCTAATTTTCCTTAACAGCCTTCTAAGGTGGGTGGTATGGTGGTATAAGTTTCATATTACAAATGAGAAATTGAGATACTGAGAGATTATGTAACTTGCCCAAAAGCACACAGAGAAAATCAGAATAGAATGTAGGCCTTTGTTTCTAAAACTTATATTGTCTGTCTGTCTGTTTGTTTATTTATTTATTTATTTATTTATTTATTGTGGGGAGTGCTGGGGTTAGGGACACACTGGACGGTACTGGGGGGCTGCTCCCAGCTCTGTGCTCAGGGGTAACTCCTCGTGGTACCAGGGAACCATGTGGCTCGAGAAATCAAGTCAGCTGTATGCACGGCATTGCCTTCCCTGCTATGCTGCCTCTCCCGCCTCTGGAGCCTGGGCTGTTGACAGCTGTGCCAACCACCTCTCAGTAGCGGGCACTGGGATTCTTGATCTCCTTACCTCTGCTCTGCTTCACACGTTAAAGATGATCCTTCATGTTAATTGTCTGGGAGCTCAATTATCCTTACGGGGTTCCTCTTTAAATAATAATTTTTTAAAATTATACTTTAGCAACATGATTACAACAGATATTAGCTGTCATAGTTTCAATGAACTAAAGTTAGTGTATTGTCACTACACCGAGGTGCCCCGACCTCTGTTATTATGTGTCACCTCTAGCCCACCTCTTCCTCCCTCCCCCGCCCCCTTATGTCATAGTTCTTCTTTAGAAACATAGAAATGTTAAAAATTCCTGAGGTGCTGGTTGAAGACATAATAAAGCCAGTACAGCACTTGCCTTATAGGTGGCTGGTCCAGGTTTAATCCCCAGCATTGAACAACATGGGGAGGGAGCCCTGAGCCCTGAGCCAGAAATAAGCCCTGTGCACTGCCAGATATGGCCCCCAACAAACCCAAAATAAAAATGATCCTTGAGGAAATTTCACAATTGACAGGGTAAAAATGGATGATACTGTGAGTTTCAAGTCATTCCTGGATTCGAGTCCTGGCTCTGCAATTTACTAGACATGTGACCAGGGATTTTCCTACATTTGGGCCTTGGTTTCTTTTTTTTTTTTATTAGTGAAACACCATGAGGTACATTTGTAGACTTTTGGGTTTCAGGTATACAATGATCGAGAACCCATCCCTCCACCAGTGCCCATTCTCTACTACCAATGATCCTAGCGTCCCTCCCATCCCCCCATCCCCCCATCGCACCCTGCCTCTGTGGCAAGGCACTCCCTTTTGTTCTCTCTCCTTTTGGGAGCTGTGGTTTGCAAAAGAGGCATTGAGTGGCAATCATGTTCGGTCTAGAATCTACTCTCAGCATGCATCTCCCATCCTGGGAGGATCCTCCAAACACCCTTTATTTGGTGCTACCTTCTTTATCTGAGCTCCCTTTTCCCCTAGCATGTGTGGTTGGCCTCCAAGCCATGAAGTAAAATTCCCGGTACTTATCTCGGCCATTCTGGGGTATTAGTCTCCTATTTTGTTACTTTATGTTCCCCAGATTAATGCAGTCTTTCTATGTCTATCCCTCTCTTTCTGTCTCATTTCACTTAACATGATACTTTCCATGTAGTACCACTTGTATGTAAACTTCATTACTTCATCTTTTTCTAACAGCTACATAGTACTCCATTGTATAAATGTACCAAAGTTTCTTTAACCAGTCATCTGTTCTCGTGCACTCAGTTTTTTTCCAGATTCTGGCTATTGTAAAGAGTGCTGCAATGAACAAACAAGTGGAGATGTCACTTAAACTATAGTTTTTTGCCGCTCTGGGATATATTCCCAGGAGTGGTATTGCTGGGTCAAATGGGAGCTCAATTTCTAATTTTTTGATAATCGTCCATACTGCTTTCCAAAGGGCTGAACTAGTCGTGGGCCTTGGTTTCTTTTTCTGTAAAAATTGTTATGATACCACCTACTTCTCAGGAGTTTTTATAAAAATCAGATTAGATACTGTATGCAAAGTTTATAATATAGTTCCTGGCTGTATTAAGTGTGAAATAGTTTCTGTACCTAATACTTTGTGTACCGAATCTCTGTACCTAATGATTTGTTGCATGAATAACATGTCAAAGCATTCTTCCAGACCCTAACATGGATATTGTACCTTGGTGACCCTTAATCCTTGTTCCTTCCCCCTCACCATGTCTGGTATTGATTGATCTCCTTGGGTTCATTCACTGTTAGTTTGAGTCTTCATGTTAGCACCTACTTTCTAGACCTGATCCTGGACCAGCAAGAACTGTCCAGTGACCTGAATGACAGCATGAGGATTAAAGTACGGGAAGCTCTTCTCAAAAAGCATCATCACCAGAATGAAAAGAAGAGAAATAATCTCATTCCTATTGTTCGCTCCTTTGCGGAAGTTGGCAAGAAACAGTCTGATCCACATTCTATGGATAAAAATGGTGAGGTTATTAGAGTGATTATTTTTTCTCTCTTTATTAATAAGACATTTAGGAAGCAGTGCTCAGTCAGACTCGGGGATTGATTTTGGTTTTTGTTTCTCCTTGCTGGAAATCCTCAGACGGGCTGTCAAGAGTACATCAGTATATGAGGTTGCACCAGGACTTGAATTTGCAGTTGCACACTTAGCCTCGGCACTTTTTAAGCCTCTGAGCCATCTTTCAAGTCCTTTCTCATCTTGAATCCCAAACAGCAGAGCTGTTAGGCTTGCCTTAGCACATGTGGGCAGCACTAGGGTTTGAACGCACAGCCTTCTGCTTTCTGGGCAAGCATTCTAACTACTGAATTATTTTCTGGGCCTGTGCACTCAGTACATTTTGGTGATTGGAAAGATGAATGACCAGGACTGTGCGTTCTCTCTCTCTCTCTCTCTCTCTCTCATATTCTCTTATTTGCTTTCTTTTCTCTTTCTCTCCCTCCTCTCCCTCTCTCTTTCCTTCTCCTTCCCTCCTCAGGGACTTCAGTTCCTGTGTTATCCGCATTGTGGGTAATTTGGGGCCACAGTAGATCAACTGGAGCTTTTTAGGAATGAACATATTTCCTTGATTAGGGAGGCAAGTACGCTAGTGTAGACTCTGATTCAGACTTTTCAATCTTCTCACTTCTCCACTTGCAAAGGCAAGAGGTTTAAGAAAACTCCTGAGTGCTTTTAAGTATCTTTCCTCACATGTTAAAAGTAAGGAGAATACTAATATCTGCTCCTTATGTTTCTTGAGAGGTTTTAATTCATCCACATAAAACCTTAGCTAGGTGCACAGTGAGTTATAGTCAGTGAATTTCAGCTGCTGATTGAAATGAAAGGGCAGAGAATTATGTTTGATTTTCTTTAAATAGGCCAAACGGTGTCTCCTCAGTCTGTTCCCACTACAAACCTTGAAGTCAAAAATGGAATGAATTGTGAACACAGCCCCGTGGATTACAAGGTGAGCACAGAGACATGCAGCTGGCTTATGGGCTCTCCAGTGAAATCCAGAGATTCCGTTTCGAAGTTGGGTAGGCTTTTGGTGTTTCAAAACTTGTTCCAGCACCAGAGTGTCTTTTGCATAAAAGGAGGCCCACCGGCCAGTGACTGGGCAGGGCTGGGTCCAGCGTGTGCTCTAGCTCCACTGGCTGCGCCCGAGCCTAGCTGCTGAAATTCTCTGGCACCCATCTCCTGGGCTGGAACGATAACACAGCGGGTAGGGCGTTTGCCTTGCAAGTGGCCAACCTGGCCGACCCAAGTTCAATTCCTCCTCCCCTCTCGGAGAGCCCAGCAAGTTACTGAGAGTATCTCGCCCGCACGGCAAAGCCTGGCAAGCTCCCCGTGACCTATTCAATATGCCAAACACAGTAACAACAAGTCTCACGATGGAGACGTTACTGGGCCCACTCGAGCAAATCGATGAACAACGGGAGGACACTGACAGCGACAGTGACCCATCTCCTGAGTTTGCAGGGTCACTTTTGGTACCTGCTCTCCATTTGTCCCTCCTTTTCTTCAGGGTTTTTCAAAACATTGTTTCTGTGAAAGTCTTTGACTCAAACTCTTTTGGGGACAGAGACTTTGATATCTGGACGTTGTTTCTAAGACAGTGTCCCAAACTCCTGGGGACAGTGACTTTGGCCTCTGAAGCCTGTCATTGTAGCAGCCTCCACACAGGCTTAGCTTCAAGCCTTGATTTACCTGCCCCTCGCCTGTGTGTGCTCTGGTCTATGCTGGTCACTGCCTTTTTAAAACAAAGGTAGAGTTATAGGTAGTAAGACACAGATTGTGTTCCCAGCTCATGTTTTCCTTAGAAAGGCTCGGTATTTGATTTAGGAAAACTGAAACCTCTGACAGAGTGATCAGATATTGTATATTTTATTTTTTGGCCATGCTGGGAACAAACTCAGTCTCACATATGCACGTGTGAGGCAAGCACTGTCTGCAGAGCTCCGTCCCCAGCTCTACTTTTTAAAAAAATTAAAATGGCGTTTGTTTACACGACTAGCTCTGTTTTAGTAACAGAACACCACATTTCTTCAGTGTATGTTACCTTACCATAACGACCATGAAAGAACCAACACCCTCCACCACAGTCTGTTAAGCCCCTCCCTACGTTTCCTCCCTTCCTAAGTATTTCAGTGAAAGAAAAATAGACCTAGAACTTAAAAACTAAAACCCATTTTTTTGGAGAAAGTTTGGTATAATGAAATTAAAATCAGAGTAACTGAATTTAAATTCTCCCTCTCCAAAGCTCTGTGGTCCTAAAGTTAAAAGTTAACTTCTTTTTTTAGCAGCACCCACGCCCAGTGATTCTTGGCCCGGCAATCACGACCTGATAGTTCACTGGTCAATGCTGTGCTGTGGTGCCCTGGGGCCATGAGATTACACCCAGTGGTGTTCAGGGTGCTGTTCTGTGCCACAGATTAAACTTGGATCTCATGTGCTAGACATTTTCTCTTTCCGGTCAGACAGTTGCTTCATTTTGGAAAATGGACTGCCATCTTATCTGCATTAAAGGATTTTGTAAGCAACAAGTGAACTAGTATGAGAAAATATGTTAAAACATAAAATCACATATATAAGAAGAAGGTGAAGGGGATTGATGTTCTAGGTGATGGTTCCCAAATCATCAGAGGGTTCTTTTGACATTCAGGTAGACCTTCATTTCATGAAAAAAATCCCCTCTGGAGCAGAGGCCTCAAACGTCCTTGTTGGAGAGGTGGATACTCTGGACCACCCCATTGTTGCCTTTGTGAGACTGTCTCCAGCTGTTCTTCTCTCGGGCCTGACGGAAGTTCCCATCCCAACAAGGTAAAGACAGAAGCAACAATATGCAGTACAGTCTGTTTGAAGTAAAACTCTGATGGAAGAAACCAGTTGCTACCCAAACTCAGGATTAATTAGTGTTGGGAAGGCTAATGTCTAAGATTTAGCAATGATATTAGAAAAGTGGTATATTAGAAAAGTGGTATATATTTGACTCGTCTCTGCGCATAAGAATTCTAAGACTTCTACAACAATTGCCGCACTGTACCTACAGTCTTGGAAAGGGAACACTGAAACCTATTCAAAGGGTCAGGCATTTGTTATCGTGGGTAGACTGTCTTACTCTCCCTGCTCTAATCGAGTCACATCTCAGGGAGTGTCTCTGAACAAAAATGCTGAAACTGTCACTTTCCCCAGTTCTGGCAGGATTTGTATGGTTTGCAAATATGGCCACATTTGTCAATAGCCTGCTCATACATCTGAAAGTGGTGATCCAGGTGATTCAGAGCACCATTAATTACAGAGTATTCAGACGTCCAGAACACAATCAGACTCTTCTGTAGGATTTGTTTATTTCAGCTTTCTTCTCTTTTTCCTCTGCCCATGATTTTCTTATTAGAGCAACGTATGAGATTTATTTAACCTTGAACTTATTACTCAGTGCCTTGTTTTGAAGAGCATTCTTTCTGTAGTAAGGAACTGTGTCTATGGAAACCCCAATAATTATAACCACATTACTGAATGAAGTCACGAAGATAGTTTTCAAAGCCCACAATGGAGCTAGGGGTGAAGGAAATATATATTTCTGCATGATTTATCTTCCTCCTTTTTATTGAAGGTACCATGCTAAAATGTTTGGTAGGGGAAAGGAATGTTAGACATTTTAGAGAGCAGTAAAGTGCTGTTTCTTTATGTTTACTTACATCATTTCAATTCTGTATCTGTTGCCAGATTTTTATTTATCCTATTGGGACCAGTAGGAAAAGGTCAGCAGTACCACGAGATTGGCAGATCCATGGCCACCATCATGACAGATGAAGTATGTGCTGTTTTTGCTTTTCATACATTCATCCCATGACTATTGAATTTCTGTCTGTGCCCAGGCACTGTGCTAGTTATTGAGTGTGAAAAATTATTAAAAACTTTGCTGGGAAAGAGTTCTGGAAGCACTAGAATGGTGTTCTGGTCTGAAAAAGCCTTTTTCTTCCAGTGTTTCTTCCAGTATTCTCCTTTTGAATAATCAGAAATATAGCAAAAACATTTTAAGGAAAAATTGTTATTGCCAAGTACAGTACTTCAAGAGGAAAATATTAAAGCTGATCTAATTTTCCAGAGAGAGTGGTTAGTTAAATGCATCCAAATGGCTTAGACAGAGAATAAACCCATTTTATTCCCATTCCAATAAAAGAGATCAGTTTGGATAAGGGTCAGACTTAGGCACTGTAATGTGAATTATGAGAAAAGCAGACATTTTGGCTGCTTCGGTGCTAACCCCCCACCGCATATCCTAGTAAAGGCTGTTGCTCATCCGAGGCGAAGCAAGGCTTTCAAGTCACTTTTCAGCAGACTGTGTTTTATGAGATCTTTGATTAGAAGACTTACTTCATGGAGTACCTTCTTGAATTCCACCTAGTTTTTATAATCGCTATGATCAGAAAAATTTCCCCTTGCATCTTTATTTTTTTTTATTCTTTGAAGGAGATCACAGAATTATTCAACTCTAGATTTATGACTTATCTCCCTTCTGTAGAGGTCTCTCTAGAAGTGTTCAGGGGGCCCAGAGCCTACTTTTGACAATATTCTGCCAACTAGGCCAGACAGTTCAGTACTAGGACCTGAGGATGTGGCGTAAGGACCACTAGGACTACTCCAGAAGTGCCTGAGGACACCTTCATCCCTATGTTCAGTGTTGCTGGGAGAGGGAGTGTGGTCCCAGGGATTAAACTGGAGTCTCCTGCATGCGAAACGTGTCCCTGTCTCCTAGGCGATCTCTCCAGCTCCATCTATTTACTATTTTATATTAGAATATGAATAGAATAATATGTATTTTTGTTAGCTTCAGTTTTTCGATTTTATCCTTTGTATTTTTATATATATTTTATTTGTTTATCCTTTTCTTTAAAATTTCTACATTTTATTATTTTGTTTTTGAGTTACACTCAGCGGTGCTCAGGGCTTCCTTCTGCACTCAGGCATCATTCATTCCTGGTGGGCTCAGGGAACCCTATATCGTTCTGGGGATCAAACATTGGCTGGCCACAAGCACCCTACTTGCTCTAAAATTGCTCCAGCCCCTAAAATTTCTACATTTTAAATGTCTTAACAAATATTTAAAAAAAACTCCAAGAGATTGATGATTGTTCACCCAAGTACCTAGATAAGATATTTGGATACATCTCTGAGAGCAAGAGGGCCGTGGGGTGGGGTTGAGCTGTTAGCTAAGATGAGGTTCTAAGTATTTATCCCTGATAGAATTCTCCCATCTGGCTTGTCCTTGCAAATGAAAAGTAAAAAAATACCTAAAAGGTTGTATCAATCCTTCACCATGTATCCGTTGGTTATTCTTGGGTGATTATTCTTTGGGGGGGGCACACCCCAATATTGCTCAGGGCTTACTCCTGGTTCTGCACTCTTGGCAGGCTCCAGGGACCACTTGAAGCGTTGCGAATAAAATCAGGGTTGGCCAAGTGCCAGGTAAACGTCCAACCCACTGTCCTATTGCTTCAGTCCCTCATTGGTGATTATTCTAAGTAAAGCTTTAGCTTTATTCTAAAAGTAAATTTTTGGCGTTCTTGAGGATTTTTTTTTCTCTACAGATTTTTCATGATGTGGCATATAAGGCAAAGGAGCGAGATGATCTCCTGGCAGGGATCGATGAGTTCCTAGACCAGGTGACGGTGCTCCCTCCAGGGGAGTGGGACCCCTCCATTAGAATTGAACCACCCAAGTATGTTCCTTCCCAGGTAATGTATGCTGTTGATAGCTTAGTCATACTCGCTGATTGTCCACTGTGGGTAAAGCAAAGACCATGTGGGTATATGCTAAATATATTCATACATGGTCCTGTTTGGGGATACTTGTAGTGTTAATAACACTAATAAAAATGAATATGCAGTTACATATTGGCTCAGGTGTGATGAGGTATGTCGGTATCGGATTATCCTTGATTGAATTTTAAATCAATTTTTTGTTTGTTTAGGGGTCACACCCAGTGGTGCTCAGGGCTTACTCCTAGCTCTCTGCAGGGATCACTCCTAAAGTGTTTAAGAAACCATCTGGAGTACCAGAAAGTAAGCGCCCTGCCCTCTCCTCTGTAGTATCTCTCTGACTCTAAATTTTAAATCAGTCTTAAGGCTAGGATTCATGAAAGAGGACAGATAAGAGTTCTTCATACTTTTTGGAGGTTAAAAATGAGAACAGGGGCTAGAGTAATAGTTCAGAAGGTAGGGCATTTGCCTTGCATGTGACTGACTTGGGTTTGATCCCCAACCGGCATCCTCTATGGTCCCCCGAGCACGGAGCACCGCCAGGAGTAATTCCTAAGTGCAGAGCCAAGAATAACCCCTGAGCATCTCTGGGTGTGACCCACAAAGAAAAAAAAATGAAGAGAACTTCAGTTGTATAATAAACACAAGACCAGTCAGGCACTTTACATATATTCAGTCTTCCCAGCAACATCCCAAAATAGATATAATAAGTCCTCACACATTGTCACATGTTATCTATGTATATATACTGGAAATCAAAGGTTAAATGAAATGCTACGTATGGAAACCAGGTTCTTAAATAATACTCATCCAGTATGGGCTAGGATTTTTTCTTTTCTTCACCAGTGTACATTTAAATGACCTTAAATGTATACTGTGAAGGGAGGGGTGTTGGAACATGATATGACAGAGATTCAGTCATGAACAACTTTTAACTGTGTATCTCATTGTGATTCAATCAAATAAATATATTTTTTAAAAGATAACTAAATTACCTTAAGTGATATTACTTTATTTGAAGATCTGCTATATTGTCATCCTTTGTTTTATGAGGAATGCAATTTGACATAGAGTTTTCTTCCAAATTTTAAGTTAAAAGTATGATAACATGAAGGCAGACTTGAAACTAATTTAGGTCATGTCTGATGGATTCTGAGAGTTTTTATCTTTCTCTTTCTGGGCACGACAGAGTTAGATACTGGTGAGGAGGAGAAATTGTATTTTTTTTACCTAAGAAAATCTACCAGCTGCCTCAAATCAGTAAATGTAATTGAAGGCTATAAACACTGGTTATTTTTGGCTGCCTTCACTTTGTTTCACTATTATTATCCCATTAGCAGGGAAATAGGGGCTGACTTCACTAATTTTGAGATCCTCTGTTAATAGGAGAAAAGGAAAATGCCTGGAGTTCCCAACGGAAATATTTGCCACATAGAACCGGAACCACATGGGGGCCACAGTGGGCCAGAACTTCAGCGCACTGGGAGGTAAGTTCTGGGGTGTTTCATAGCTAAGACTGCTTAGTGGGCAGAAGTTATGTAGAGGAATGAGTCATCCTGCTTGTTTTCAGTCTTTCCTGTCCTGTCTTTACTGGCTGGGGATGACTTTTCAAATGGAAGCGATAATTGTTCTACAAAGAGCCACTATTGTATTATTCAAATATTGCAAGCACCTACCATAGTCTGTCTCACCTCTAGTCCTTCCCATACATGGTCCACTGGTTCGAACACTGTTCCCGTCTTCATCTCCTGGCTAATGGGTACTTTATCCTTTGTCTCAACTTTAGGTGTCATGTCCTTTGGAAAGACTTCCAGGATTCTCTGTAGATGAGGTCAGGTGTTCTTGCTCAGTGGTGTCGCCGTTTTGAGTTTTGTCCCTTGCTTGCCCGTTGCCTTCCTATACACACACTACTCCAAGCTCCCAGTGCTTGATTCTTTGTGCTGGTTTGTTAGCTCTATTAAGGAACTTCATTATAATCCGAGGGCAGCGAATAGTGCCAGAAAACAGTCGAGTTATGAAGTAAATGTTATTATTTTGGGTTAAAAATATCCTTAGAGAGGCTAGAGAGAGAGTGCAATGAGTATAGCTGTACTAACTTTTGCACACGGCAGACCCAGCATTGATCCCTGGCACTGGTTCTCCAAGCCCACTAGGAGTAATCCCTGAGTACAGAGCCAGGGAGACAGCCTGAGCACAGCTGAGTGTGGCCCCCAAACAAACAAAAATCCGTTAGAGTAGGAAAATGAACTGTTTCAGGGATGTGAATATGCCTTAAATAGGCAATCCACTCTTCTAAGCCAAGTTATTCTGGGGGCCTCTCCAGCAGTGCTTCCCTTGGTGATACTCAGACTTAGGCCAGTAGTATAGGCCAGTCAGTCCGTTGCTGGGGCCCTATTATTGCAAGTTCTCAGGTTTCCTCAGTGGGACGAGGATTATTACTACAGAAAGAGACTCTCCTCCCAGCACGATACTGTTCAGAAGTTGGGGATTTGTGTGTGGAGGAGGAGGGTGGTGTTTGAGCGACACCTTGTGAAGCTCAGAGTCATGGCTCAGAGTTCAGAGGTCATTCCTGTCAGGGCCTTGGGGAGCCTTTTGTGGTGCTGGGGATCAGATGGGCCCGTTGTATGCAAGGCCTTAACTCCTGTACTTTGTTTCCAGGACTTATTTGGAATTAAGAGGTAATATTCGCTTAATATTCATACGCAAATGATAGATTGGCTAAGGACACAAAAGTATTTTAATCTTGTCCTAGAAAAATTGCAGCCTCCCAAAAGCCCTCAAAGGGCTATCTAACCAGAGGAAAAAGCACGACAATGACTTTATTATAAACTGGGGCTTTGGTTTCCCATTCTGAGACCCGGGGTAGAATTTTTGTGCTTGAAGAACTCTACCCTGATGATAGCTCGTGGCCTAAATTAGGTTTGCCAGACATGCACCAGGACCTGAGTTTGGATTCTAGCACCAAACAGCACAACATTCTCTTCCACTATTTTCTGGCTGCTCACTCTCACTGCTGGGTGTAGCCCTGGAGGTCCCCAAGCACTGGTGAGTGTGGCACTGGAGACCCCTGCCCAGCCATGCACTGGTGGTCCCAGTACACACAACCGTGGTGGTCCGCAGTACTATACGACTTGAAGAGTGCTGTAATTGTAATATTGAACCTTGAGGTCCGGTTGGTTGACCAGGTATCACTGGGAATGGCCCTGGGCCTCCTGAGCATTGTTTGGGATATCCCCCAAACAAAAGCAGAACAAGACTTACAGAAGTCACAAGAGTGACAGCTTCTATCCCCTAAGCCTCGACCGAGAGTGATGTTACTGTTGGAAGTTGAGGAAAGGTGAATTCCTAACCAAAGAGCAAGTGGGCCTGATAGAACAGTGTCCTCACCGCATTCATCTTCTTACCTATTGTTGGAGGAGGAAGCGTTGACATGGAGTGAGAGAGGTGTTCAAGGGCTGAGCAGTCATTGCAGTTTCCAAGGTCGCCTCAGTGGAATGAGTATTATTATTGCAGAAAGAGATTCTTCTCCCAGAGTATTATCCTTCAGAAGAAGGTCATTGGTGATTTTGTTGGTGGGAGGGGGGAGTCGGGAAGGAGGGAGTTGTGAGCAGGTTGTGGGGAGGAAGATGTTGGGGATCCACCTGGTGGCCTTTGCACATAGGTCCAACACCTTGTGGAGCTGCTTCAGGATGCTAGATAGAGAGGAAGAAAAGTTGACCAGATCTTTTTACAAGAGAGTAGCTTATTTTTTTTCCCCTGTGGCTTTTATTACAAAAAAATCTCAAACAGAGAAAAGAATAGTATAGCTCCCATATGCCCATCAATAGTTATCTGCATTTTCCAGTCTTTGTTTCAACTATTTCTCTCCACTTAATTGTTTTATTTTTATTTTTTCTAGATTGTTTTAAACCAAATCACTGTTAGCATGTCATTTTACCTGTAACTACTTCAGTGTGTATCTGCCAAGGACATTTAAAAAATAGTTTTGTCATTTTGAAAGATAACACCATTAACAATAACTTTTAATCGTCTGATATTTGTTCCATGTTCAACTTTTTGTGACTTTCTTGGCAGTTGTTAAAAAATTATTGGTTAAGTAACATGGTTACAATAGAGTTAACTTTTATGATTTTGATATGCATAATTACTGTATCCTGCTACCATCAAAGTCCCCAAGAACCCTCACCACTTTTTTTTTTATATTTTACTTTCATAAAAGTAATTCATAATAGTTCATTACAGATAATATTTAAACACCAATCCCACCATCGAGTGCCTTCCCACCACAATAAGAGGGAAGTGTGTGAAGGTTGTTGTATTTCATTCTGGAACCATTTAAACCTTCAGATAAGAGAATACAAGCAAATATGTTAAAACCAAACAAATGTGGGCTACTTTTGATAAATAAGTAAGATAGAGTGTAAGAGGTCGTGCAGCCACAAATGTGGCCGCAAACTCCAGGAAATTCTGCATCGTTCTCTTCTGGGAGCTTTAGTTTATAGTCTCTGGGTCTTGGCCATTGATGACATTACATGGCGCCAGGAACAGTTTGTGGGTGTGACTGCCAAGCTACTGGAAAGCGGGGGAACTGCGGGGAGGAGGCCCAGTCCAGATCCAGGCGGGCTTGGAGATCTCAGTCACGGGGTTCCAGCATACCTGGGTTTTTTTTTGCTGGTCCGCTCTTGAGTGAGGTTCATCCCCTCTTGGGTGAGGCTCGCCCCCTCTTGCCCCACCACTGTCTTTATGTCGCTTCTAGTCTCTTTTCCCCACCCCACACTGCTTAGTGGTCTCAATATTTTGCAAGTCTTTTTAAAGTTCATTTGCTTTTTAAAGTTCATAGAATACTACAAAAATTTTCATTTCATTGTTATATTTTCATTCTATAACATTCCTGCTTCCTTTTTTTCTTATGTCATTGACTATAAAAGAAACCAGGTAATTTGTCTTGTAGAATACTAAGTGGCTTCTTGTTGTTGTTGTTGTTGTTACTTACCTCACAACTTCCACCCTGTTGCAGTCACTCTACTCTTAGAAAAATGTGGCTCAGATTGAGAATGCTACTCTTCCTTGATAGGGGATGCCGTGATATTGCCGTCTTTCCCTTGGGAAGCAGAAAAGGGCTACTGAAGTCCTGCCTCTAAGCACTATTGTTTCTACCATGTCTATCCTTCGGATTCATCGACTCTCACCCAGTTTACTCCCGCTAGCTTGAATCTATGGTCCCTTTACATTCCTGCCACAGTGATGCTTCCAGCTGCATTTTACATTTATTTCATTAAACTTGCAGGTGGAAGGCCACAAACCTTTAGGACTTGACATTAGATAAGCTTCTAGTTCTTTAAAGCAGTTTAAAGCCTTTGTGACCAAGCTTCTCTAGCCTTATCTGTTGGTACTTACCCCTCCCATACCCTTTTGTTTTATCCAGCCCTCACTTTTTGGGTGGAGGCGAAAGGGCGGGGTGGGGGCGGGGTAGGCAGGATATGCAGGGTCCCCAGAAATCCTCATGGAGCCTAGGGGCCACTCCCAGTGATGTTTAGCCAGATGATCAACTAGCCAGATAGTTTAGTAGTAGGACCTACTGCTTTTGGGGCCTTCAGGGCTACACCCAGCAGTACTGGGAGGGCCCATGCAGTGCCAGGGATTGAATTCAGGGCCCCTTTGATGCACTCCAGCCCTTGGAGCTATTGCCTCTCCTCCCGCCATGATCTTTGAGCACCTTAAACCTTCTATGCATCCCCTCACCCTCCAACCCCCTGTAGGTGTTACTCATACCAACTCCTTCATTTCTTATGACTAACTCCTGGTTCATTCTCTGACTCCCTGTCAAAGACCCCTTCCTGTTCTGTGCTGCTGTCTCTCCCCATCAGACAGCACTGCCTGTCTCCTCCATTACCACGTTGTTCTGGAGAAGGGCTGTGTTTGTCTTGCTCACTGCTGCATCTCCAATACCTGGCATAGCACCAAGTATCTGCTACCACTTGACAACTGCATGAATGAATTATTATACTAATGTCTTAAGAGTAGGAACTTGCATGGAACCTTTTATCTAGCAAACAATATAGCTAACAATTTCAATACCTTGAATTAATTTGCACATTTCTTCCCCCACAGCTCAGATTTGAAGTTTGGAGCTAATATTTAATTGCATGTTTCCTCTTTGAATTTTTCATTGAATGGATAAAATGGATACCCAAATAAATTGTTTTACTACTCACTAAGAATGATAATGTATTGTTCTTGGTTGCAAATAAAATCTTTGCTTATGTCAGCGAGATCTCCTGTATCTGGGATCAGATTGGAACCAAAGTATTCCCTTAATACAGAGCACATCTGAAATGTTTTCAAAGTGTGTACGGTTCATATGGTTCTGTTTGAAAGAGGGACTATGTTAGAGGCTTGTCTGCCATGTTTTCACAGGCTATTTGGGGGCTTGGTGCTGGACATCAAGCGAAAGGCCCCTTGGTACTGGAGCGACTACCGGGATGCACTCAGCTTGCAATGTTTGGCTTCCTTTCTGTTCCTGTATTGTGCCTGCATGTCACCTGTCATCACCTTTGGGGGATTGCTCGGAGAAGCTACAGAGGGACGCATAGTAAGAAATTTTAACTGCTTCTCATGGTCCCAGCAAGACTTAAAATATTGTGGTGGCAGCTTAGTCTGCTAGAGAGTGGCGTTGTGGGGGTTGGGGGGGGGGGTGCAGAGAGCACAGTGCTTCCATATGTCTGAACTGAATGAATTATGTGTTGTAAATTTCTGTAGTCTTCTGATTTCATATGCAACAGCCATGTACCCCTCCCTTTAAAACAGACTCTTTGCTGCTTGAATGTCGATTTCTGTAGCTGAGTGACCATGGAAAATCATCTGTAACACTGTCCTCCCATTATTCAGCAATTTGTTCGAGCGGGCCCAGTAACGTCTCCATTGTGAGACTTGTTGTTACTGTGTTTGGCATATCGTATACGTCACAGGTAGCTTGCCAGGCTTTGCCATGTGGGCGAGATACTCTCGGTAGCTTGCTGGGCTCTCTGAGAGGGGTGAAGGAATCGAACACAGATCAGCCGGGTTGGCCGAGTGCAAGGCAAATGCCCTACCTGCTGTGCTATCGCTCCAGCCCGAAAATCATATCAAGGATAGAAAATAACATATTGGTGCCATTTGGAAATAAGATTTAAGATTAAGATTTAAGATTAAGATTTAAGATTAAGATTTAAGATTTAAGATTAAGATTTAAGATTAAGATTTAAGATAGTTTGTAGTAGGAATGGCACCATTGCGGTTTCTAGCTGTTTTTGTATTAAGTCATTGTAGAATAGGACTTTGTTGAGGAATTTGTGTAGGTGAATTTGTGAAAGTCGTATTTATTTTTATTTTTAAGAGCCTTCAACAGTATATTTGCATCACTGTAAGATGAAATGCAGTTTGCCAGGAGGTTAAGAGCTAAGACAGAGAGGTAATTAAGCCCATGTTACTTGTTACAGATAGGTGAGCTATGAACAAATAACTTTCTCTCTCTCTCTCTCTCTCTCTCTCTCGCTCACTCGCTCACTTGCTCCCTCTCGCTGTGTGTGTCTGTCTGTGTGTCTCTCTGTCTCTGTATGTCTCTGATTCTCTCTCTCTTTCTCTCTCTTTCTCAGAGTGCGATTGAATCCTTGTTCGGAGCCTCCATGACTGGGATTGCATATTCCTTGTTTGCGGGACAGGCTCTCACCATCCTGGGAAGTACTGGGCCAGTGCTTGTGTTTGAAAAGATTTTGTTCAAATTCTGCAAGTAAGATATTTTCTGAATACTCTTAGCTAGGAGTGGTTATTGTTCTTTTAGAACGGAATGCTAATGAATACGGGCAGGCAGGAATTGTTCTGAACTATAGTAGAAAATGTGAGGGAAGCGGGCTGGAGTGATAGGACAGAGAGTAGGACTCTTTCTTGCCTGGCACACGACCAACCTGGATTTGACCCCCAACATTCCCTCTGTTCCCCTAAGCCCTCCATGCTCCTGAGCACAGAGCCAGGAATAAAAACAAAACAAAAACCTGAAAGAAGATTGTTATTTGGTCTGTTGTCCTGAACCCAGGTAGTACCATACCCAAAATAGCAGATATCCTATTCTATTATTCAAGAGCTTTATGAATATCCCTCACTGATTACTGGTCCCTTCCCCTTTTTCTTTTAATTGTTTATTAAAGTATTATATATTTTATTATATAACTTATATAAGATACATATTTTATCAGTCACGGGTGTACAGCATAATGAACTGATGTTTGCATATTGTGAATACAGTGCATCCACATTTTAAAAATGCTTTCCTAGACAATTCAGACTATTCCATTTCAAGTCCATTTTAAATTTTGCTGAAAATCTTTACCCTCAATATTCTAGTTTCTAGAGGTAGTAGGGACTAAGCATTGATTTATATTTGTTTAGAAAAAAATTTAGAAATATTTTTTTCTATTTTTTTAAAGTAAATGGATTGGGACTGGAGTGATAATACAGCGGGTAGACGTTTGCCTTGCACACGGCCGACCCAGGTTCGATCCCCGGCATCCCATATGGTCCCCCAAGCACTGCCAGGAGTAATTTCATTTCTGAGTGTGTGAGCCAGGAGTAACTCCTGAGCATTGCTGGGCGTGACCCAAAAAAAGCAAAAAAAAAAAAAAAAAGTAAATGGATTAAGGGCCAGTCCCCTATTCTTAACTAAATAACACAGTCTTAGATACATTGGATAATGATGATAGAAATATGTGTAGCACAGTTCCTTTTTCCACTGTCCACCTTGTTTTTGGTTTGTTTTTTGGACCACACCCTGGCTCTGCATTCAGGGATCACTCCTGAAAGGCTTGGGGGTCCCTGTAAGATGCAAAGAATCAAACCCTGGTTGGCCGTATGCAAGGCTAGGTCCCTACCTCTTGTCCTATCTCTTCAGCCCCACTTTTCACATTTCTGTTCTGGAAAATACCACCTGTGAAGCAAATCTTTATCACGGCTGTCTCATGGCATCACGTAGACATGAAGTGATCTACAGATTAACTGGGTCGTGGACTGGGTGGGTTCTGTGAAACGGACCAACCTCGTTTCACACCCTCTGTCCTTTCATTTGCTGCCATCCATCCATGCCTTTTGATGACCTTCCTGTTGTTTCAGAGACTATGCTCTTTCATACCTGTCGTTGCGAGCTTGTATCGGACTGTGGACCGCCTTCCTGTGCATTGTCCTTGTGGCGACTGATGCCAGTTCTCTTGTCTGCTACATTACCCGCTTCACTGAAGAAGCATTTGCCTCCCTGATTTGTATTATTTTTATCTATGAAGCAATAGAAAAGCTGATTCACCTGGCAGAGACTTACCCTATCCACATGCATAGCCAGCTGGACCACCTTAGCCTGTATTAGTAAGTATGATTTCTGCCTTTCGGTTTTTTAAAAATCGAACCAAGTGCCTGGGTCTGGTGGTGGATACAGCCAACCAGGCAGTGCTTGTAGCTTCTGGTAAGGAATGTGCTGGCCTTCTGGAAAAAATAAAGAGCTCAGATACAAATATCGTAGAGGTTTGCTAGGAAACAGAAATGAAGATGGAGAAGATGGACTAAGAGTAAACCCTCAGGAGGGGACTTGACAGATACTTTTGGAGCATTTTTTTAGTTGCTGGCATTGGGATAAAAGTAGACTGCAAATATAGTGTGTGTGGGGGGGAATTCTGATTAAATATTAGGGAGAACTTTTAAAAGAACTTTGAAACCATGTGAGAGAGTAAATTCTCTTTCTCTGGAAGTCTATTCAGTATATATTCCTAGGAATTATTATTTGAAAATTTATTAATAGTTTTGGGTTCATGAGTCTCTCTGAATTCTAAAAATCTAGAAATCTATTTGCTAAATGAAATTTTAAGTCTAGATAGTAACTAATAATCATTTTTAATGTGCTCAATATAGTTTGGACCATCTAGAAAAGAAACACAGTATTTGGCTATGTATTCAGACACTTGGGAGTTTAGTTCAAGAAATCATTTCTCTCTAGCATGGTATTCTTCAAATTGTGACCAAAGAACCTCATCCTTTGTCTTTGAATATCAAGATGTATAGTTCTGATGTGAAGGGTCAGGTTGTAAAGCCAACAGCTTGAAGTGGCCTGGGCAGAGAGAGCAGGCTGCCTGCAGGCATTTGTTCAACTGCCACAGAGACCCTTCAATACGTTCTGGTTGTCCACTCACTAAATGTTCAGAAATAAGTTCATAAAAATTATTAACATCTTTTAAAATTATTTTTATTACAAAGTAAAAACCATCGAATGACATAATCTTTAAAGTCTTACAGATTATCATTTGGCATTAGAATAAGGGCCTTCTTTGAGTCTTTCAATTGTTTATTCATTGAACAATGAATGTTGAACATTTACGATATGCCAAGCACCATTTTAGACTCTGAAAACAGCAGTGAGCAAACAAAAAGAAGTTCCTCATAAAGTTTATATCCCAGTAGGAGAACACAGACAAAGGCCCAGCTTTGGGTTGGGTAGACTTTTGTTCTGACTACTATAATTCTTTGCTAATAAAATTTAAGTTGGTATTTTTTTCCTATTTGGTTCATATGGTGCTAAACTCAAACCAGGGAATAAGGGAGAGAGAGACAGAGAGAGAAAGAGAAATAAGAAAAGAGGGAAAGAGAACAAAAGAAAAGAAAAGAAGAAAGAAAGAAAAGGAAAGGAAAGGAAGGAAGGAAGGAAGGAAGGAAGGAAGGAAGGAAGGAAGGAAGGAAGGAAGGAAGGAAGGAAAGAAGAAGGAAGGAAAGAAAAAGAAAAGTGCTTGCCATGGCAGGTGGGGGTGCAGGGTTGGGAGGGAAACTGGGACCATTGGTGGTCGGAAAAGTACACTGTGACGGGACAGGTATTAGAACATTATATGACTGAAATCCAATCGTGAACTACTTTGTAAATGTGTATATCACTGTGATTCAGTTAAAAAAAAGTGAGTTGGAAGAATTATAGCCTTTGAGTGATTATGCTGTGGTGGATATAGGATGAACTAGGAAAGAAAGTTTTAAGACCTACTCTAAATGGGAGAGTGTGAGTCATAATGAAGTCTTTGTGGATATTTGAGATCTATGTTTATGCTGGGGCTGGAGCGATAGCACAGCAGTAGGGCATTTGCCTTGCATGCAGCTGGCCCTGCCAAGCCAGGTTCGATGCCTCCGCCCCTCTCAGAGAGCCCAGCAAGCTACCTAGAGTATCTTGCCTGCACGGCAAAGCCTGGCAAGCTACCCATGATGTATTCATTATGCCAAACACAGTAACAAAAAGTTTCATGATGGAGACGTTACTGGGCCCGCTTGAGCAAATCGATGAACAATGGGAGGACAGTGACAGTGAATGTGTATGCTATATTTTGCATTTTTCTGTTTGATTTGATATCAACTAGGAGTGATTTTCTATATTCACAAAAACTTCTCCCAGATAAAGTCATGCATAATATGACATTTGAGATATACTTATTCTTTAATATATCAATAACACTGAAATAAATGTCTGTTGTTATACAAAGTGTATAGAAAAATAGGTTATAAAAAAGAACTTGAATAAATCTGCTTGTATTTCCTCTTGATAATGGAGCATCTTATTTTTGATAAAGGCTTGGGAAAGATGATCTTAAAGAGATACTAGGATTGGCCAAAATTGCCAAGGAGTGCAAAAATGTCCATTAACACAGAAGGTACATGTTAGTTGACAAGTCCTTTACCCGCTTTGCTTTAGTATTTTTCTTAGAAATCTTTTTATTTCTTTTTTAGGTTTGCGTTATGCTGGTTTACAAAACTGTTTCTAATACTTTAAAGAAGTGTGACGGCTCACGCTTCTTCAAATGTATCTTCCCATACCACACCTATCACCAAAGTACCAATAACCCTCCACCACAACCCTTGGGACCCTGTACCCTTTGCTCCTTTTCTCCCTTCTGGTAGCCTCAGTTTTACAATCAAAGTCAAAGGATTCCGTTTAGACCGGTTTTTATTAGTTCCTTGGCTTTGCTTCTTCATGTTTCTCTTAGCATAATGCCTTCCAGTTCTGTACTTGTTGTAGGTTAGGCATGAATTCATCTTTTTATAACTGTGAAATATTCCATTATATATTTTATATATCACATCTTTCTTTTCTAAATTTTGGGACAACACACTGGCAGTGCTCAGTGAACCAATGTGCCCTGTAGCACTAAAGATTGAACCCTGGCCTTTCATTGGCAAATCATTGAGCACTTGGGATTTTTCATATTTTTGCTCTTGTAAATATTGCTTCAATGAATATAGGAGTACGTATATATTCTTTGACTTAAGTATTTTTGTATTATTCAGATATGTCTAGAAATCAAATTGCAATGTCATGTGCAATTTTATTTATTATTTTGGGAACAACCATTCTGTTTTCCATAAAGGCTAGATTTTCTTTGGGGGGGCAGAGGGATGGGAACCTCTCAAGTAGTACTTAGGACCCAAGGGCTGCTTCTGGTGATAGTTGGTCCAGCTGTGCAGACCTGAGAGTTCAGTGCTAGCTAGGATCAGGTTGGCAGTGCTGCTTGGGCATAGCATAGGTGTTACCCAGCAAGATCACCCCAGTAGTGCTTACTGACCATATCTAGCAGTACTCGGGGACCTCCACGACTACACCCAGCAGTGTCATGAGGTCTCATGTAATGCCAGGCGTACACTCTAGCCCTTTGAGCCATCTCCCTGGCCCCTGTTACTTTTCATTTTGTTGATTTATCTCTATTCTTTAATAAATTTTTAATTCTATTATATCCTTTCTTTATACTCATTAAATTCATAGACTAAGAAGCAGACAGATGGTATAGTGGGTGAGGTTCTTGCCTTGTAGAGGTTGACCCAGATTCAATCCTTGGTACCAAGTATGGTATCTCAGGCCTTCCAGAGGTGAACCCGGGATGCAGAGCTAGGAGTAAGCCATAAACACAATTGAATATGGTCCCAAAACAACAACAACAACAACAGCAACAAATTAACAGATGAAGTTAGTGGGGATGGCTGTGCCAGTTTAGGGTACTGGAAACCAGTTCAAGCATGAGGCACGCTAAACTGGAAATCAATGTGATAGCCAGTGAGACAGGTCTGATTTGATCTGGTTTGAATGAGGAGTGGGTCTGAGGAAACCAGGGAATGGTCATGATAGTGAAATAGTATTGGGGAGAATGTAATATCAGGATGTACTCCCATCACAGATTCAAAAATAACCGAATTTTAGAGCAGTAATGTGATAGGGAGCAGGATATTCAGACTTTGGGGGCAGGCACTGAAATCTAAATGGGTTGTCCACTCTTTCTTGTTGCATAGATTGGATTTCGAAACTTGTCAGAGTCCAAGACATAGAAATTAAACAAGGTAACTTCCAGGACTTACTTTGGGCAGATCAGATCTCAGATTTTCTTGTCAATACATTTCATCCAAGTCCCATATTCTGATTGAAATCAATCTTTAATAATAGCTGATTGAAAAACTAGGATATCATTGGGCCTATAGATAGGCTTCAATCAACAGAACAGATCTCAGGTTCTGAAGTAGGAAAAAGGAAATCAAAGCAGACTCTGACAGTCTTTAGCCAATAAGTACTAAAATTATCTAATTGAATATTTGACTTCTTCCCTCGGGAATCATTTTTGTTTTTCTCCTCTCAGCTGCAGATGTACTCTCCCAGAGAATCCAAACAACCACACCCTGCAGTATTGGAAGGACCACAACATTGTCACAACAGAAGTCCACTGGGCTAACCTGACTGTTAGCGTAAGTCTGGGCTGCCAACACACTGGCAACTTCTGGAAGAAGTAAGGTGGCCCCTTCTGCAAATGCTGATGTTTATGAAATGAAGTTTTTAAAAAATAGCTTCTTGTTTCATTTCCCCGTTAAAGGTTCATCTTGTTCATAAAGGGAAGAGAAGATGAGTATATGTATCTTTTTTTTTTAAAATTTTTATTAGTGAGACATCATGAGGTACAGTTGCAGACTTACACATTTTTGTGCTTGGTTTCAATTATACAATGATCAAACACCCATCCCTCCACCAGTGCCCATTTCCCACCACCACGGATCCCAGTATCCCTCCCACCCCCCATCCCCCCCACCCCACCCTGCCTCTGTGGCAGGGCATTCCCCTCTGTTCTCTCTCTCCTTTTGGGTGTTGTGGTTTGCAAAAGAAGCATTGAGTGGCAATCATGTTTGGTCTATAGTCTACTTTCAGCATGCTTCTCCCATCCTGGGAGGATCCTCCCAACACCCTTTATTTGGTGTTCCCTTCTCTATCTGAGCTCCCTTTTCCCCTGGCATGTGTGGCCAACCACACATGCTAGAGTGTATGTATCTTACCCGGTGGCTGAGGTTTTGGGTGTGTGGGGATGTAGTCAGAGGGCAGGGGAACAGATCCAGCTTTTGTGGGGTATGAAGAGCATTCATGTTTGAAAGTCATCTGTGAGAAAAGCAATATATATGGTTAGGACCTTCCCAAACTCTGATGTTAGCTAGCTAGGGACAGTTTCATTTTGCGAAGTGTCTTAGTTGGGATTTTAAATAGTCACACCGTCTCAGAGGGGCCTTGCAGTAGAGTTCCACAATTGCAAGGAAGCAGATGAATGTCTGCCCTGGTGTTGCCTTCAGTGAGCTAGAAAGAGGCGTGTTTCCTTGTGCTGTCCTTGATCAACCAGAATATTTGTTCTTCCAGGAATGCCAGGAGATGCACGGAGAGTTCGTGGGATCTGCGTGTGGCCATCACGGGCCCTATACTCCTGATGTGCTTTTTTGGTCCTGCATTCTCTTCTTCACCACCTTTATTCTCTCCAGTACCTTAAAGACATTTAAGACAAGCCGCTATTTCCCAACCAGAGTAGGTAGCATGTACACGCGTTTCTTTTGAGTTAAAATTCTAACATTAGGCATTTGTTCTTAGCGTCCAAACTTGTGAAGTAGATTGGCAGGTGGAGAGCCCTCAAAAGTTCTGATAAATACCACACTGACATTTTCTCCTTCTAGTGTCTGCCAGCTTCATTCATAAATGAGGAATTAGTACTTACTCAGAAGTAAATATTTTAAAGTTTTTTTTTTTTAATTTAAAGGTGCCAGAATTTAAGGTGGTTGCCGTGTTCTCTAAAAGCGATTAAGTTTTGCCTACAGAATACTGGGACATGTAGCCTGCAATTTGGGGGGCTGCATCCTGAATATTGGGGTGGTCACTTGGATGGATAGGAAAAGCAAGTCTCATGATATCATTCTTGTAATAGCTTCTGAAATCACTGGTCACATTAACTACAGCATCCAGAATATCGTGACATGGTTTATACAGTGAAGTCTCAGCAGCCTTTTTCTGACACAGTGTTGTTTGTATCGTGACTGGTTTGGGCAGGTCAAAAACTAGAAACCAAGTAGAAAAAGGCCTTTTTTATTGCTTTGAAAAATAATCTTGAGTCAGGAGGAAATGTTTAGGGGTTTTTGTTTGTTTTATTGTAAGTGAGGTTTCAGGCAGGCACATTTGCATAGCAAGATGTATAAATGGGTAGCGACTTATTAAACATTTGCTGTCCTTGCAACATTACTTCAATGAATATACAAAGTAATTAAAGGAGGCACTTAGTAATAAGTTCTAATATTGTTTTTGGTCTGGACAAATAAGCCCGGCTGTTTGGTATTGACTACTTGTTGGACTCTGAGTTAAGTGCTATGAGGTTTGCAAAAAACACTTAAAACATGTTCTCTGACATGAAGTAGGAAGAAGAAACATCAAGCAGTCAGATTTGTCTGAGACAGTAGTAAAGGCTCGCATGTCAGTCTGGGGTGTAAGCCCATGGGAGTTCAGAGGAGAGAGACACACTGGGCTCCAGAATGCTGACCCACAAGATGGGTGTCTTAGTGGGGACAGCTATACCCTTAAAGAATTTATGCAATGTTTAGAGGAAATGTAATAAAACCAGAGAGGAGGAATCTAGAAAATTCAGGTTTCGAAGGAAAGCCAAGTACACATAGAAATTACTTTGTAAGATCCATTTCGTTTTATCTCTGTCAAAAGTTTAGATTAAGGTGAGAACTTAACATTTGAAAGATGTTTTATTTCACTGTAGACTATGAATTGGGATTACTCCTCTAGGAACAAGATTGGTGCTAAGTACTATAGAGAAAGAGCAAGAAAAAAAAAACTACAGAAAATGCCAGGGGAAGGGTGGGTGGCCTATTTTATGCGGTATCATCAGAAAGGAGAATCTCAGGGAGACGTTTTGAGTGAATATGAAGAAGGTGAATGAGAATGTACTTAAGCATTTACCTGCAGGATGGCATTTGAGGTAGAAAGATGGACAAGCACAAACCCTGCGGTGGGGATGAGTCCAGCGTGTTTAAGGAACCAGGAAGTGCATGTGAGCAGAGGAGAAGGAGCAAGTAGGAGGAATTGGGGGCTGGGGGTAAAGAGGCAATGAAGCCTGTGTGTGGGACCCAGTAAGGCCAGCAGGCCTGGAAGGTGTTGGGTTTTGTTGTTGTTGTTTTGGGCCATACCTGGTCATGCTCAGGGGTTACTCTCCTGACCGTGCTCAGGAACCACACCTGGCAGTGCTCCAGGGACCATTATGGGCCGCTGAGGATCAGACCCTAGTCAGCCGCATGCAAGGCAAGCATCTTACCCACTGTAGTATTCCCCTGGCCCCAGGATTTTGGGTTTGGAAAACCTCAGTGAAATGAAGTGCCACTTCAGGGTTTTGGGTAGAAGATTGACATAATCCCACTTACTGTGTTTCTGTGATCTTTGGCTTCAAAGGAGGGGGGACGCAAGCCTCTGAGACTGCTGCTACTACACAGAGAAGGCTGAGAGCTACTTAAAGTTAGGCCGAGGCAACAGAGGTGGAGAGAAATGCTCAGGGTCTTGTTTGTTGTCAAGGCAAAGCCAACAGTACTTGCAGTCAGTGAATTTGATGCTGAGTAAGGAGAGGAAGAGAAGTTGATCCTGTTACCATGGATCCTGACTTGCATTAATGGAGGTTGCTTCAACCTGAATCTGAATGGTTTAAAGAGAGCTCTTCGGAGCCTCAAGTTGGTATATTGGAGGTTGTCAGATGATTCATTCACTGTATCATATGAGTACTTTCTGGGCTTTAATTTAGGCATATCAGCATGTTCCTGTTGTTTAAATATGCTTATGTAAATGTAACTATCAAAATATCCTTTTGAGAATTTTTAAACTTTTCTAATACTCTCTCCTACCACATTTGACATCATAAAATATTTTTCCAATCCTCTCTCATACTAGGTGCGTTCCATGGTGAGTGATTTTGCAGTTTTCCTCACTATCTTCACAATGGTGATTGTTGACTTTTTGATTGGAGTTCCATCACCAAAGCTTCAAGTTCCCAGTGTATTTAAGGTAAAGAACTCTCATGCAGAAATGGAGGATCTGGTACTGAGTTCCTCTTAAAGGCTTTTCTGTATCCTAATCATCAACTTTGAGCCTTCTAACTCTGAATCTTGTTTCTCCTGCCTTAGCTCAAAAAAAGCGAACTCTTCAGGCTTGAGTTCATGATAGAAAAGAGAACAGAAAACTGATACTGTTTGTTTGTTTATTTATTTATTTATTTATTTACTTTTTGGGTCACACCCAGCCGATGCTCAGGGGATACTCCTGGTTCTGCACTCAGGAATCACTCCTGGCGGTGCTTGGGGGACCATATGGGATGCTGGGAATTGAACCCGGGTCGGCCGGTAGGCCACGTGCAAGGCAAATGCCCTACCTGCTATGCTATTGCTCCAGCCCCCAATACTGTTTAATGAATGAAAGTATTATTTATTATTACTGACACCACCTAGTATTTGTATTTACTTTGTTGTTGTCGTTTTATTTAGGGCCTACACCCAACAGTACTCAGGAGCTACTCCCAACTCTGTGGTCTGGGCTTGCTCTGGCTGTGATCAGGAGACCACGAAGTGCTGGGGATTGAACCCAGGTCTCCCACATGCAAGCATGCACACTATCCCATTGAGCACAACGATTCTGGCATTTAGCACTTTTAAAAATAGGTTAATATTTAAATTCCTTTCATGTAAAGGTACACATTTATATAAATTACATACCAGACACTGTGGGAAGGCCAACTGTCTGAGGAACAAAGTATATGTAGGACTTGGATCCTTTCCTACGGATTTTGCAGTGGGAGGAGATGCTAACCAGGGAGCCTCACTAAGAGTCTTGTGTCCCCCCAGAGCAGTCAGCATCTCTGCAATACTAGTTGATCTTTGCTTATGTAACTAATGCTATGTAATCTGTAACACTTAAAAAGAAATCTATACGAAAGGTAAAACAGATGATCGGTACATGGGGACTCAAAATCTACTTCAGTTTGTGTGTACTAAGTAAACAGAAGATTAAAAACTTCAGTTCCACGGATCCCCCACGGACTGAGAGGAAGACCCAAGGCACACACAGTGACGTGGAAGGAACCATGGAGTGGGAGGAGAGTGAGGGGTCGGGGAACCTGGGGAGGAGAGGAAGATAGGAGGGAAGGGGCCCTTGGGGAGTCGGCTTTCAGATTCCCTTTGTCTGTCTCTCTCCCTAAAGTAGCTATGGTTAAAATATATTTTTCCTTATTTCCTGAGATTTAAGAATCTTAGAATCAGCATTCTATCATCAGAAGCTAATGGATTAAAAATTTTTTTCTGAGATGTATTTTTACTAAGATCCTTCTGAGAATGTTACACTCCCATGGTGTGAGTGAGCACAGTCAGCCTTCTCTCTAATATCTTGCTGAGGACAAGACTGCAGGAGGGTGGATTCTGTGTAAAAATAAGCATTTTGAGAGCATGAGACAATCCTTGGAAAGATTTCCTACTGGGGAGGCTTAAGATAGTCAGAAGGCGCTAATTTTCTGGCATATCTGGGAAGAAAGCCTCTGGGAGGAGGGAGAGAGAATTGGGAAAGGGAAAGGGGACAATGTCAAAGAAAATGTTGCTGATTGGTAACTTAGCTTCTGGGAAACAAAGACGAGATTTCATTCTCTTTCCTTTCCCTTTATACATTATATTATACACGGCCCCCAGTAACCCAGTCTGAAGGCCAGTACTATTTATTAGTGGATAAAGATCAGCCAAGATTCCATCGATTTTGGGGTGGACCTGAAAATTTGAACTAGAACATCTTAACTCAGGAAACAGAGTTTATGACCTTCAGAACCTAATCCATTGGTATTTTGGATCTGGGTGTTATTTTACAATCTTGAATCATGATCAGTATAGAACCACATACTTTGGGTATGATGGTCTTGGCTTACTGAGTTTGGAGCCAACTCTGAAACAAGTTTGTAGCCTTCATCTTTTGTCCTCCAGCATTATTTACCAAACGAGGTGAACTTTTCTTTATGGACACTTGGGCAGAGTAATTTGAGTAGGAACTCTTTAGGAGAGTTCAGGTATTTCATGAAAATCTTAACAAGGCTTATGAGACACTGGAGTGGGATCCATGTTAAACAGGTTCCCAAGTTTATCAGTTTTGGATGACATCTTTAGGTGTGGTACTTGGACCCCTGATTCTTAGCTGAGGGGAGAAAGCACCTGGCAGATCTGGTCAAAACTCAGAGTACTCCACACAGCTATCTCGATCTTACTTTTATTTTGTGCTGTAGACAGACATTATGTGGCTTCTGAAAGGGAGCAATGAGAAGAATTTCAAAAAGCTATTTACATTTGTATTGGAATGTCAGTTCTTGACAGCTGATTTTGCTTTTTTGGGTTTTTTTGTTTTTTTTTTGTTTTTGGCCACACCTGTCTGTGCTTACTCTTGACTCTGTATTCAGGGATCACTTCTGGCAGAGCTCAGGGGGCCGTAGAGAGGGACAGGGATCAAACCCAGATCAGCAACGTACAAAGGAAGTGCCTTACCTGCTGTACTCTCTCTGACTCTTGACAGCAGATTTTGACAACAGATTTTGTTAGTTATATTTTACTTGGGATAATGTTGAGTAAAGTTGCTTTGTCTGTAGTTTGGAGAATGTGAGGAAGAATGAATGAATTTTCCATTGGAAGTTTATAATTGAATAGTGACTCCAAAGGGGATTTGGTACAAGATCATATTTTCTGAGGAGTTAATGTATTTTATGTTGATGTTTTTAAAAGGGATTCTTGGGGCTGGAGAGATACAGTAAAGTGAATAGGGCACTAGCCTTGCACGCGGCTGATCCTAGTTTGATCCCTGGCATCCCGTATGGTCCTTCCAGCACTGTTAGGAGTAATTCCTGAGTGCAGATCTAGGAGTAACTGGGTGTGACCCAAACAATAAACAAAAGGGATTCTCATTTAGGAATAAAAAAGTAGGGGGTTGGGTAGGATACCAGTTTGATCCCTGACATCACATGCCCTGCCAAGCAAAGTTGAGGATAGCCCTGGAGGCCTACAGTCATCACTGGGTGTGACCCTGGTGGCCCCTAAGCTCTGCTGGGACAGCTCTGGTGGTCCCTGGTATCAGAGGCTTGAGCAGTGCCACATCTTTAGGCCTCGGCATTGAGCTGACAGGCACTGCTGGCCAATTATCACCAGAGGTAGCCCACTGAGCAATGCTTGGGAGGCCCTAAAACTTTGAATATAAAAGCAACATGTATACTGTGATTATGATTCAGTTTGACGTTTTTCTTGATGTTTAGTTAAATAAACACACAGAATAAAAATCTTGCTCTTCCCTTTCAGCCAACAAGAGATGATAGAGGGTGGATTATTAGTCCCATTGGCCCCAATCCCTGGTGGACTGTAATAGCAGCAATTATCCCAGCTCTTCTGTGCACTATCTTGATATTCATGGACCAGCAGATCACAGCTGTCATCATCAACAGGAAGGAACACAAACTCAAGGTAGCAAGTCCTGACCTAGTAGGACTAATGGCAGGCAGCCCGCCCGCCCAGTATTTTCTTTTTCTTTAAGTCTAAAACTTTTAGATCAGGTGAAACCCAAGCTCAAAAATTTGTAAATCTACAACTGTACCTCATGATGTTTCACTAACAAAAATTTTTTTAAAAAATGTAAATGATGGAGAATGGGCACTGGTGGAGGGATGGGTACTGGATCATTGTATAACAGAAACCCACGCACAAAAATTTGTGAGTCTACAACTGTACCTCATGGTGTTTCACTAATAAAAATTTTAAAAAAACTTTTAGTTCGGGTAGTTTGTAAAGGAATTCCCTTGGTTTCCGATACCTGTACTAATGACAGAGATTGTAGATGAAACTAGAGTGAAAGAGGATGAGATGATGTGGAAAGAGGCTTAACCTCCATTTATTTCCTCTCAAACCTGTGAGAAACTCGGTGGGCAGACCCCCTTAGGTTCCCTGTTTTGCCGTATGTTCTGCATGTGCTTGGGGCTCCGGTCTTGGCACACTGTTCCCTAGATAGTTTGCCATTGATGTTTTTTCTAGGGTTTCCATATTGAAGCTGGAGCTCACGGATCCTAGGCTTCATGCTTCTATTCCCATATATATTTTTTTTTACCTAGACTAGGCAACACCCACATTGGCAAGAGCTGGGATGTTTGTAGGAATTCATTGTGGACATTTCTCTCTAGCTCCTATGGTGTCTACAACCTAGAGACATCAAAATGAACTCAGGCTGGTATCTGAGGACATTTGGATTAAAAAACGAATATTGGCAGGCATAGGACAGGCTGTGGTGTCCCTTTTTTCTGTATTTCCTCCAAACGGAAGAGTTCGAAAGCCCATCCGGGGTCTCTAGATCTCTCTTTCTCCCCAAGTTGTCCCTTCCTGCCTGGGCCTGAGACTCTCAGCTTGTTTTTCTAGTCTCACTACAGCCTACCACTGGTGGTGACGGAGATTCTGTTTTCCTACAGAAAGGCTGTGGCTACCACCTGGACCTCCTGATGGTAGCCATCATGCTGGGTGTCTGCTCCATCATGGGCTTGCCTTGGTTTGTGGCTGCAACTGTCTTGTCCATCACACACGTGAACAGTCTTAAATTGGAATCTGAGTGCTCTGCTCCTGGAGAACAGCCCAAGTTCTTGGGTATCAGAGAGCAAAGAGTCACAGGCCTTATGATCTTCGTGTTAATGGGCTGCTCAGTTTTCATGACGGCTGTATTAAAGGTAAGCACACAGGCACTCATTAGGCAAATGTATGATGTCTTATTTGTGTTGGAAATCCTGTCGTTAGCTGAGGAAATACAGTGGTATGAAAACAGATACACGTACAAATACCTACCCAAAAGCACTTATTCTAGTGGAGTAAGACAGGTAATCCATAGTTAATACAGTCCGCTTTTTTATTTTAAAAATGATGGAGTCATAGAGACAGTACAGTGGGTAAGGTGCTTGCCTTGTATACAACCCATCTGGAGTCTATCCCTGGCACCCCATATGGTTCTTCAAACAGTACCAGGAGTGATCTCTGAGTACAGTCAGGAGTAAGCTCTGTGTCTAGCTGAGTATGATGCAAAAACTAAAACAAATAAACATGATAATTACAGATTGTGATGAGTGATTAAAGAAATATATAATGTTGTACAATGCTATAGAGAATTAAGTGGTCTACTTGGTGTGGACACTGCAGTCATCTCTAAGGAGATGGTGTTTAAGACAAAAAGGAGATAGCCCTGCCATGAATAGTGGGCTCAGAGGATGGGAGGAGAAAGATCTACTCAAGCCTTGAAATGGAAAAGATATGTTCTAGAAAATATCGGGACCATGAGTCAAGCCAAGAACATAATGGAATGAGGTTGAAAGGTGTGCAGGGGGAGATAAGAGAGAGCCTTGTTAAAAAGACCCAGAGGTTTTGGTGGATGACTGGATGTGGAATGGAGAGACAAAAATTGAAAAATCAAAGTGTCTCTGCTATGTTTCTGACTTGACCATCTGTGTGGAAGTAGATGGTATTTACTAAGAGACGGTATGAGGTGACCAGAGTGATAGTACAGTGAATAAAGCACTTGCCTTGCACCGGCCAGCCCAGGTTCGATCTCTGCTGGAATCTCATATGGTCCCCAGAACCCTGCCAGGAGTCATCCCTGAGTGCAGAACCTGGAGTAAGCCCTCACCACCACTGGGCGTGGCCCTAATTTTAAAAACAGAAAGAATTTTTCTGAAGCAGGAAGTGATTTTGAGAGCAGTAAGGTTGTGGTTAGAATTTATGGCCGACATACATAGAAAGCATCTGAGCAAAGAATCTAGAAGAGGATTCTGAACAAATATAAAATTGGGACTCAAAAGGATATAATAGTTCTATCTCTAGTAAAAGACCACTCCATTCCTTTCCTCAAGTTTCTGGTTATTAAAAAAGGAAGCATTTTTAGTGCATGTTAAAATATACCAAATTCCCAAGGAAATGATTTTGTGACAACAAAAGGTACCAGTTCTCTAAAAAAAAAAAAAAAGGATGTATATGTATTGTGTGTATGAGTGTGTGTGCTCATTCCCACACAGGAAAGAGAATCAGCAGATAAGGGTAAAATGTGAGGCCTACAAAATAATCAGGACCGGATTATACATTTATGTGTAATCAGTTCATTTCAGAACAAAATTATTTAAAGTATTTTTAGCTTCTGATTTTGTTTCTGAGTACAAGACACATTACAGGTGGCAGACAATGACATGTTCATGAGGTGTGTGTGTGTGTGTGTGTGTGTGTGTGTGTGTGTGTGTGTGTGTGTAGTCCTGATGTGCTCTAATAGATAGCAATTTTAATTTGTGGTCCTTCTGCTCTTCCATCTCCAGTTTATTCCAATGCCAGTGCTCTATGGAGTTTTCCTGTACATGGGAGTTTCTTCACTACAGGGAATTCAGGTACTGTATGGTTTAGTCAGGGCAATGTTGTCTCGCCATGAGCTTACTGGTCCTGACAATGGAAGAACAGTTCCACTGGGGAAGCTTAAGCCAGTTCTTGAGTTAACCAGTCCTGCCACTTAAGTGATTTTGGACAAATCTTTAGACATCAGGCAAAATACAGTCCCATTGGCTTGAAGTTGCAGAGGCTAGCAGCGTGACCGAACTCCATGTCTTGGTTACAGTGGTGCGTTAATTACTCAACAGATAGTAACTCAGCTGGTATTAAGTACGAGGTGCTTTGCTGGGTGCTGGTATACTTATTCTGAAAGGTTAGAATCAAACTGGCTTCTACACTGAGGCAAGGACTAGTTTTAGTGCCAGGCTACAGTGAGGCACATTGGTGGAGAGATGAGGAGTAGTGAGAACTATTCCATATAAGCAAATGTTAATTCCTGTCACATTTTGTCTTTTCTCTAAGTCCTTTGAGCAAAGAAAATCAGGAGTTTGTCACTTATCACTTAGATACCCAGATTGTATGATAATGTAACTGCTTCTAATGGTGGCTGGTTAGTCCCTACTTATTATTTTTTGATTTGGGGCCACACCTATAGGTGTTCAGGACTTATTCCTGACTCTGTGCTTAAGAGCCATTCCTGATAGTGCGCATGGGGCCATATATGGTGACAGGGCTCCATGCAAGATAAGAGCCTTAGCCCCTGGCTGGCTCCTACCTGATGCTGTCTCATCTTTATTTTTTTTGTGGATATTGACAAAATAGTAATAACATTTATGTAAGACAAAAGATTCAAAATAGTCAATAAAATATTAGAGGAGAAAACAAAGCCAGAAGATTGATACTTCTTGACTTCAAGACTTCCCATAACACCACGGAAGTCAAAACATAGAAGCACTGGTGAGAGAATAGGCAGATATATCAATTAAATAGAACAGAAAGCCTAGAACTTGGCCTGCACGAATGTCTTGTCTTTGTTTTTACTGAATGTCCAGTGGTCTTTTACCCCCCTCCCCCATTTTTCTTTTTTGAGCCACATCCAGCAGTACTCAGGAACTGTTCTTTTCTGTATGCTCAGGGGTCACTACACAGTGTATGGGGGGGCTACAGACCTTGCAATGCCAGGGATTAAACCCAGGCCTCCTGCTTGCAAAGCATGTGCTCCAACCCACTATTCTACCCCTCCTGTTCCTTTTTATAATAACATGGTGGTTCTATGCAGAAATCTTAGGTTTCATCTTATATTTTTAATGTAAGCGATAGGCTGGAGTGATAGCACAGTAGTAGGGCGTTTGCCTTGTGCACAGCCAGCCCAGCCGAGCTGGGTTTGATTCCTCCGCCCCTCTCGAAGAGCCTGGCAAGTTACCAAGAGTATCTCGCCCGCATGGCAAACCCTGTAAGCTACCCGTGATGCATTCAATATGCCAGACCAAACACAGTAACAACAGGTTTCACGATGGAGACGTTACTGGGCCTGCTTGAGCAAATCGATGAACAACAGGAGGACGATGACCGTGACCGTGAATATAAGTGATAAATTAAAAACTTTAATTTCTAATAATAACAAGGCATTTTGTTTTTTATACAAGCAGAAAGATGCAACGGGGTTAATTTTATTTTCAACTCTCCTTGAGAAAGATAACTCGCAGGAGACACAGTATGGACTAAGAGAAAGAGATCGGCACCTAGGATTAGAAAAGATGGGTTCAAAGTTTGTCTCTCATTTACCAGCCTGAGCCCGATTACCTGCTCTGAGACTCAGTTCCCGTTTTTATCTGATGGAAACAATAAAGCCTTTGAGTGCAGAGAGGAGTCATGAATGGGTTTTTTCTGACCCAGAGAAGCCTCCCTAAAATAAATGCCGGTTCCCTCCTCTTTTTAGTTCTTTGACCGCCTGAAGCTTTTTGGGATGCCTGCAAAGCACCAGCCAGATTTCATCTACCTTCGGCACGTGCCGCTACGCAAAGTGCACCTCTTCACACTCATCCAGCTGACCTGCCTCGTCCTGCTCTGGGTCATCAAGGCCTCCCCAGCCGCCATTGTCTTCCCAATGATGGTGAGTTGCTAAAAATCAGGGTCTGCTTTGATGTTACTGTTGCAGTGACCCTGGATCACACTCAGGCTTTGTTGCAGTGCCTGCAACTATGTTATTAGCTTTGGTGCCTGTTTATGCACCCTAAACCCATGTTGGGCTTGCTTAGTCCTGGTGCTCGCTCACATTCTGATTAGGATGCTTGCTGGATGTCCTGGCAAGCTCACACACCTGCTGCGATAAAGCAAGAATTCAGTGGTGACAGCACCCAAAAAGAGAGAGAGCAAAAGGGAATGCCCTGTCACAGAAGCAGAGTGGGGTGGGGGGAATGGGGTGTGGTTGTGGGAGGGATGCTGGGACCATTGGTGGTGGAGAATGGGCACTGGTGGAGGGATGGGTACTCGATCATTGTATGACTGAAACGCAAGCACAAAAGTTTGTAAGTCTGTAACTGTACCTCACGGTGATTCACTAATAAAAGAAAAAAAAATGTAGTGGTAAGGAGCCCAAGAAATGTATCGGGGTTAAAACACTTGCCTTGCACGTTGCAGGACATGGTTTGATCCCTGGCATTGCATTTGGTTTCCCAGAATCATTTAGTGGGGAAAAAGATAGCCACAGGATCTGATGCAGTTCAGGTGGTCCCTCAGGGGACTTTCATCCATCCCGCAGCTGTGTTCCTGTGGAGGCCTCCCTCTCAGTGCTGCCTTGTTGCTCTTCTTGCCAGCTCCTTGTCAGGGAAGGGCAGCTCTTAGTAAGGGGCATCTGCTAAGAAAGTTTCTCATTTATTTTTGAGGGGCTTGGGGGGCTCTCTCTGGTTGTTCTTAAGAGTTGCTCCTGTCTCTGTACTCAGAGATCACTCCTGGTGGTGCTGAGGGACCAGATGGGGTGCTGGGGATTGAGCATGCAAGACCAGCACCCTACCCGCTGTACGGTCTCTCTGAACCCTGATGAGAGGGATCTTGGGTTACACCTGGTGGTGCTCAGGGTTGCTCCTGGCTCTGTATTCAGGAGTGACCTCCTGGTGGTGTTTGAAGGACCCTCTGTGGTGCCAGAGGTCAGCCTGGGTCAGCTACATGCAAGGGAAGTGCATAACCTCCCATACTACCTCTCTTCTCTGACCCCAAAAGTGTTTATTTTTCAGTGAGGAAATTAATTGTGCTCCAAGCTGTAGGGTTGTAATAATGGGGTGAGTAAGCACGTTATCTCAGTATCTGTGCCAAAGAGGGCCCTCGATAAAAAAGAACTATTATATAGTTATTTTTTTTAAACAGGATAAATTTACTTAACTAATTTTAGGGGGGTGATTTTGGGTCATATCAGTGCTGCTTCAGAGACTCTCTGGTGCCACGGATAGAATCCAGGTCTCCCACATGAGAAATGAATGTCTTAACCACTGTACTATCTCTCTGTCCCCTCTTATGATTATTGAGTTTGATTTTAGAGATTTGAAAATGCCTAGTCTGCTGAGAAAAAAATAATATACTTAATTTCAGGAAGGAAATTTCTACCTTTAATTCATTGTCTTTATTTTTCTTCAGGTTTTGGCCTTGGTTTTCGTCAGGAAAGTCATGGATTTCTGTTTCACTAAGCGAGAGTTGAGCTGGTTAGATGATCTCATGCCTGAAAGCAAAAAGAAGAAGTTGGATGATGCCAAGAAGAAGGCCAAGGAGGAAGAGGTCATAGTTCTTGTACCAGCTGTACTTTTGGGGGCAGCCTCAAATTATAGAACATCAAAAAGTTCATATGAAAAGTTAGCATGTTTGGAATCCCAAAGGGGTGCCAGGAAGATTGTCCCAAAGATGTTCTCAGCTAAGAAAGGACTGAAAGTGTCTTGTCCCTGTCTGTCTTTCGTTTTCAGGTTTGATGTCATAGCATAGCGGGTAGGGAGTTTGCCTTGCATGCGGCCTACATGGCCAACCCAAGTTCGATTCCTCCGCCCCTCTCGGAGAGCCCGGCAAGCTATCGAGAGTATCTCGCCCGCACGGCAGAGCCTGGCAAGCTACCGGTGATGTATTCGATATGCCAAACACAGTAACAACAAGTCTCACAATGGAGACGTTACTGGGCCTGCTCGAGCAAATCTGTGAACAGCGGGAGAACTGTGACCCAATTCGATGTCTTCCCCTACCACCCCCCGCTTTGTCTATAGCCCAGTTTCCAGGTCCACACTGAGAATGTGAACTCGGAATCTTTGCTCGTTTATTTGAAAGCATATGACGCCTATTATTTTTCTGAGAGTACCTAATTGTAGCTGGCGTTATTGGAAAATAACTTGCCTAGGACTTTCTGTCCTTCCTCATTTCCCTCATCATTTGGCAGCTGCCATCCATACAGTGGACCCTGAATTGGTGGCCTGTGTGTGCAAAGGAAGAATGTGTGGGAAAATGAAAATATCAGACCAAGAAATGGACGAACCATAAAGTGTTTTTAAATGCAGTACTCCAATAGTGGCCCTTCCCATGCTTTTAAGAAAATTTCCTCTCAGACTGGAGTGATAGCACAGCGGGGAGGGCGTTTGCCTTGCACGCAGCCGACCCTGGTTCAACCCTCAGCATCCCATATGGTCCCCTGAGCTCGCCAGGAGTGATTCCTGAGTGCAGGGCCAGGAGGAACCCCTGAGCATCACCGGGCATGACCCAAAAACAAACCAAATTTCCTCCCTGATATCTTCGATATCCCTGGTGGGGCTCAGGGGACCATATGTGATGCTAGAGACCAAACTAGGTCAGCCACATGTAAGGCAAGTACCTTAATCCCTGTACTATCTCTCCAGTTCAAGCTTCCCTTTTTTCCGCATCTTTGTAGCACCATTTGATGATTTCCATTTCAACAGGTTTCAGGTGATAATTTGTTATGGTTTGGGTTCCCATTTCCCTTATGATTAGTAACATTGAGTAGCTTATTATATACCTCCGGACCACGACATACCTTCTTTAGAAGATACTCTGCCTCTCTTTAAATTTGATTATTGAATTTTTGATATTTTTGTATATTTTTTAATATGTTTAAGATATTAACGCCTGATCAGATACATAATTTGCAAATATTTTCTCCATGTTATAGGTGATCTTTCAGTTGATTTTGTTGGTTATTTCTTTTGCTGTGCAGAATAGTTTGATAGAGTTTTATTCACTGTTTTTTTTTAGTTGTACCCTTTTTAGGGGTATGGAGGCACACCCAGCAATACTCGGGGCTTACTCTTGGCTCAGTGCTCAGGGATCACTCTTGTGGTGTTTGGGGAACCATTCGCAGTGCCAGGGATCAAACCCGGTCAGAAAGGAAGGAGCCCTATTCCTACAATATCTCTATGGCTGGCTAGTCAGGCTTTATTTGTCAGATTCATGGAATCATTGTGTAGACAGATGTCAAGGAACTCTATGCTTGCTTACTTTCAGGAGCTTTATCGTTTTTAAATCTTAATCTAAAATTTTTAATCCAATTTGAATCTGTGAATGGTTTAAAATAGAGGTCCAATTTCTTTTTTGAAGGGAAGGGTTGGGGAAGGTTGTCAGGATTGAACTCAAGACATTTCTCAGACCTGAGAAACAAACGCTCATGGTTCATCCTTTGAACAATATCCCCAGCCCCTCCATTTCCATTCTTTTCTGTGTGAACATCTAGTTTTCCAACACCATTTATTGGTCTATCCTTTCTTTATTACATATTGCTGGCTCCCTTGTCAAATATGTTTACCATATATGCAAAACTGGGTTTATCTCTGGCCTCCTGATTCTGTTCCACTGGTCTGTGTGTCTTGATTTCTATTATTAAACAAGATTTATTCACTTATCACTTAACTTAACTTCCCGTTAGTCGTCGATTTGCTCGAGCGGGCGCCAGTAACGTCTCCATTTGTCCCTGTCGCGTGCTAGTGTAGCCCAATGGCATCTCTTCGCTCCGGGAACATGAAGGGCCTCAAACCGATCATTCATGATCTTGACGAAGAAGTCTGACCATCTGGTAGGTGGGCGGCCACGCGGTCTTTTGACATCCTGTGGAATCCAATCAGTAACAGCTCTAGTCCAACGGTCGTCTTTAAATCTCATTACGTGACCAGCCCATCTGATTTTCGACACCTTGGCAAATGAGACAGCGTCCCTGATCCTTGATCGTCGACGGATGTCAGAACTCCGGATTCGTTCTCTCATTTGAGTGAAACGTGATATTCCAAGCATAGCTCTTTCTATTCTTCTTTGGGAGACCTGAATAGCGTTCTCATCTTGTTTGCGTAGGGCCCAGGTCTCTGAGGCATATGTTAATGCAGGAAGAACAGTGGAATCAAAGAGATGTGCCCGGAGCCGGAGGTTCTTCGTCCTCTTAGCTATTTCTTCGACGTTCTTGAAGGCGTTCCAAGCCGTTCTCTTCCTCCTGCGCAGCTCGGGTGCCAGGTCATTTGTCATGTTGACCTCTCGACCTAGGTACACATAGCTGTTGCATTCGGAGATGGTCGTTCCGTTGAGAGTGAATGGGGCGTCAGGAACGAGGCTGTTTCTCATAAACATTGTCTTCGTAAGATTCAGCTGTAGTCCTACCTTTCCACACTCACGGTCAAAGTCGGCCAGCATTTGTGCCGCTTGGCTGATGTTTGGTGTTATTAAAACAATGTCATCAGCAAAGTGGAGGTGGTGTAATTGCCGACCATCTATCTTCACTCCCATTCCTTCCCATTCCAGTCGTCGCATGATGTTCTCGAGGGTGGCACTGAAGAGTTTCGGTGAAATGGTATCACCCTGCCGCACCCCTCTCTTGACATCAACGATCACTTCTTTGTAGAATGGTGAGATCCTGGTAGTGAATCCGCAATAGAGCTCACGGAGGATCCTGATGTATTGGGCTTGAATGCCCTGATTGGCTAGGGCTTCAATGACCGCTTCCGTCTCAACAGAATCAAAGGCCTTCTTTAAATCAATGAACGTTAAGCAGAGCGGCATCTTGAACTCCCGAGAAACCTCAATGAGCTTGGTTATCGTGTGGATATGGTCGATGGTGCTGAATCCTTTGCGGAACCCTGCTTGCTCGCATGGTTGTCCTTCATCTAATGTTCTGCCAATCCTATTCAGGATGACTCGAGTGAACAACTTGTAGATGACAGACAATAGGCAGATCGGGCGATAGTTGCCAATGTCATGGATGTCTCCCTTCTTGAACAGTAGTACGGTCCTGCTGGTTTTCCATTGGGACGGAACCTTGCATTCAGACAGGTAGCAAGTGAAGAGCCGAGCCAGTGTATTGATGAGTACTGACGGCAGGTTCTTCAGGTGTTCAGGTCTGACCTTGTCTGGGCCGGGTGCTGTTTGTTTCTTTACCAACGAAATGGCGTGTCGGATTTCGGAGGGGAGAACGTTGGGAACAACATACCCATCCTGTGGAATTTGGTATGTTGGCAAGTGGACATGGCTATCGAAGAGATTTGAGTAGAAGTCATGGATAATCTTCTCCATTGCCGTTCTGGAGGATGTGATGGATCCATCAGGACGTCGGAGGGCAGTCATCTTGCTCTTATAGTTGGCGAAGGACAGGCGGGCCTTACGAATACTTTTCCCGGCTTCTGCCGCATCTACCAGTACTTCTGCTCTTCTCTCTTTGAGGTCTTCCTTGATCGCATCTCTGCACTGCTTTGCAAGCTCGGACGTTAGCTTGCGGTTGCCTGAGGCATGCGCCAAACCACGCTGGCGAATTAGCTCAAGAGTTTTCGAAGATAGGCGACTTTTTGTGACTATCTCTCTCTTGGCGTTCCTCGCACATTCATGGAGGTGCTGAACCAGTCGATCGTATTCCTCGTCAATGTTGTCAACAATGGCATCTTCCCATGTTGCCGCAATAGTACCAAAGAGTTCCCAGTTGGTGGTCATTCTGGGAGTTCTCTTTTTGAACTTTGCAGCCCTTTCTCCCCGCTCTGTGAAGTAGAATTTTGCATGAAGGAGACGGTGGTCCGATCCCGTTCGAAATTTTGGGACAACAGCGACATCGGTCAGGCAAAACCGTCGATTGAATATGATGTGGTCTATTTCGTTGTGGAATCGTCCACCAGGAGACTCCCATGTCCATCGTTTAGATTCTGCCTTCTGGAACTGTGAGTTACCATGGATGGTCTTGGTCGACATGATGAACTCAGACAGTCTCTCACCCTGTTCGTTCCATTCTAGGCCATGGGTCCCGATGTGAAGTTCTTCAGCTGATCTTCTCGGTCCTATCTTGGCATTAAAATCACCCACAATGATCTTGTAGAAGGTGTGGTCTTCTTTATAGAACTTCTCTAGCTCCATGTAGAACTTCTCGATTTCTCTTTCATCATAATGAGATGTTGGTGCGTAGACAACGAAGATAGAAACTGCAGGCAGTGAGCCACATCTATTCAAATGTAAATGTCCGATTCGGGTTGTTAGGCATTCGAATGAATCAATGCTCTTGGCCAAGTTTGTGTTGACAAGGACATCGACACCTCCAACACCTCTTTTATCTCCAGTGTTGAAAACGGCATGGTGAGATTCGTGCCTTCTTGTCTCGGTCAGACCAATGATGTCGTACTTGATCATTCGCGCTTGTACCATCAGGTCCTCGATGGATGCATCTGATGCTAGCGTACGTGCATTGAAAGTACAGACGATCATTTTTGTCTTCCTTCGTTGTGGCAGCCTAGTTCGGCCTTGAGATTTTGTCGGCCTCTCCTTTCTCATCCTTCTCAGTGCTGCCATGTCGGTGAAGCCTTCAGGGTCAGGTGAATGAGACCAGTTGTAGTTACTGGTTTTGGCATATCGAATACTACTAGTGACACTACTTCCACTACCCAGCCGTCGCCACACTCCAGGACGCTTTCCGGACCCGCGCGGCAGCTCCGGCCGAGACCCACGCACAACTGAAGACCCACAGAACAAGATAAGCGGAACTCTCTGAGACCTTGGACTCCAGGCTCGGCGGACCCAGGGACAGAGCTTCTCTGCTTGCTCCCACCACCACAGGTGACAAAGGGATTCTAATCAGGAGCCCCACCCTACCCTGCCCTGTCTGCTTCCATCAACCACCCAGGGATCGAATTGTGCACAGGAGACCCACCCTACCCAGATAAATACCCCACTGGCAGACTTCCACTCTCGACACTACTTCCACTACCCAGCCGTCGCCACACTCCAGGACGCTTTCCGGACCCTGCGGAAAGCATGTGCCGCTTGCGGCTGCGCGACACATCATAAGACACTAAATACCCGTCTTCCGGAATTGTCGTACCATATTTGATAGGGTTCAAATATGGTAACACCTACAAGGGTGATTAGAGGTCACCCCAAAAGCCTCTATCCCTCTCGGAAAGACTGGCAAGCTACCGAGAGTATTCCGCCCGCACGGAAGAGCCTGGCAAGCTATCCGCTGTGTATTCGATATTCGATTCGATTCGATAAATAAGATTTATTAACTATAAATATAGCACAAAAGCAGTGGAAGAAAACTCTGAAGAGGGATAGAACTTTGCATGTGTGAGTCTCTTGGTTAAGTCCATTTCTCTACACTCACACAAAATGGTACATAAAGTGTGAAACTTCCAGATATAGCTCTGTGAATAAAATTTTAAGATAATAGCCAAGTTGTGAGCTACTGAGTTGCTGAGTTCAAACAATTTTCAGATTACGAATAATATTGAAGTGAAAATAGACCGAGTTCATTAAAAAGAAACACAAATGATTAATTATGGTGAACGATTATTTTTTTTTCTGTTTGTTGTTTGGGGCCACATCAGCAGTACTTAAGCGTTATTCTTGGCTCATACTCCGGAACCAAGTATTGCCAAGAATATAACCTGGGGTTCCTGCATGCTGAGCTCTCTCCCACCCTTATGAAAAGGTTTTTACCAGGAAAGACTTTGTACCAGAATGTGACATCAGTATTCATCCAGCATTCTCTTTAAATCCCTAGCTTAGTTTTTATGTTGCTATGATAAGTGTACATTTTTGTGTATGGCATATTTTTTCTGAGTTCTTTTTTTCTTCAACTTCAATATCTGACAGTTTTGTTTGTTTTGTTATTTTGGTCATACCTGGTGGGTCGTAGGGTGTTTGCCTTGCACGTGGCTGACACGGCCGACCTGAGTTCGATTCTTCTGCCCCTCTCGGAGAGCCCGGCAAGCTACCGAGAGTATCTCGCCCGCACGGCAAAGCCTGGCAAGCTACCCGTGATGTATTGGATATGCCAAAAACAGTAACAAGTCTCACAATGTTTCTGGGCCGGCTCGAGCAAATCGATGAACAACGGGAGGACAGTGACAGTGACCTGGTGGGCCTTACTCCTGACGCTGTGCTCAGGATGGTGCTGGGGAGATCCTGTGGGGTGCCAGGGGTTGAACCCATGTCGACCACGTGCAATGTAAGTGTCCTATCCACTGTACTATCTCTCTGGCCTCACCTTTTTTGTTTTATATATCTGTAGTAAATATATGTTTAATATATATTAACATATTTCTACAGAAGTAGGAAAGGGCTATCAGTACTTATATTTCCCCAGTTGTCTTTTCTTCTTGTTAAAGAAACTGGGACAGTGACCTGTGGAGTTGTCCACCGTTTAAATGCTAAATGTTTCCCTTGTGACACTTAGCATGTTCTTCTGTTCCCTGTATTTTCAGTAAATTGCTGCTTAGATCTAGAATCTTATTCAGAGTCAGATTTTCTTTTTAAAATATCCCAGGTAAGTGGAATGATAATACAGTAGATAACGCTTTTGCCTTGCACGTGGCCAATCCAATTTTGATCCCCAGCACCATCCATGGTCCTTCAAACCCTCCCAGGACTGATCCCTGAGCACAGATCCAGGAGTAAGTCCTGAGTACTGCCATGTGTAATTTCCCTCAAAAAATATATATACACACACATATATATTTATACGTGTATAGATTATCACTGTATCACTGTATCACTGTCATCCATTTGCTGTCATCGATTTGCTTGAGCGGGCACCAGTAACGTCTGCATTCATTCTAGCCCTGAGATTTTAGAATATATTATAATATATTATATAATATGTATAGATTATATTGTATATAAATATGCATATACATAATATGTACATACACATTTATATAATATGCTTATATAATACTTAATCTACTATATAAAATATTTCTATTATGTAATACATAAATATGTGTATACATTTTATATATTATATACATAAATCTCTGAAAGAACATGATTATACTCTGTTACACAGTAAGTTTAAGAAAAAAACATGGTAGAAAAATGGGTGGGTTAGATGCATGGTTTTATTTGGTGTATGTCTTCTTTTTTTTTTTTATAGGAGGCTGAAAAAATGTTAGATCTCGGGGGAGACAAGTTTCCCTTAGAAAGCAGGAAGTTACTCAGTAGCCCTGGAAAAAACAACAGTTTCAGGTAAAACTCCCCAAACACCAAGGAGATTCCTGTTTTGGCTATTTTATGAATGTTCTGGCTTTGTGGTAAGGGTCATGTCACGGGAAGTAGTTGTGGGGTAGGGCTTTCATAGCAGCCCAGCCCTTACTAATTAATTCCTCTTGGGTTTCTCTGATTTCTATGAATTTGGTTTCCCTGAATTTCTTTGAATTCATTGGTTTCTCTGAATTCAGATCATTATTTCTATTAGTTGAGGTCTCCCTCAAACCTAATGATTTACCATTTGGTGCAGTTATTGTTAATATAGACTGATATATGTATTTTATTTTTATATCTGAAATTTATTGTCCTAAGTGTTGATTTCAGATGTGATCCCTCTGAGATTAATATATCTGATGAAATGCCTAAAACCACGGTGTGGAAAACTCTCAGTATGAATTCTGGAAATACGAAGGAAAAGAGGTAAAAAAAACGTAATTGCTGATTTTTACTTATAAATTAAAGTGGGAATCATGTTGAAAGTAAGATATATCTTGGTTACAAAATGTAATTTGATACATAAAGTACCAGGACTGCTACCAACATAGAAAAGATATAAGCCAATGAAAATTAAAATGTGTGTTAATTTAACAAAGATGCTATTCAGAATTGGCCACTTACCCAGTTTCAGAGTCAGGATGGAGTTGTTTCAGGTTTCAAATTTGCTTTATCTATTTATTTAATTCCCTTAATTCCGTTTCTATTTCTCATTTCATAATCGCTCTGATTCCTGCTACCACACAAATTGGAAATTGTTTAAATATCAGTAATAGTATTGAGATGAACTGTAGTCTATTTAACTTGTTCATAATGAAAATTATTGCCAAGTAAAGATTTTTAAATATTGTAACTGTTTTCTTCTTTTAGAAACTAAAGTGTGTAGATCATTTTCCAGTAGCATTGATAAGCCTTAACCAAACCTGAGGGAAACAGGGACATGAGACATCTTTGAACACAGTAAGGTGTAGTCCAGACACCAAGAGTTCTTGAATAATTTAGTCGAAATATATTTAAGTTTAGCTAGATAATTGAAAGCAAACATTTTAAACCCGATAAGTAAAAGTAATTTTTCTAGGTAAAAAAGGAAATGCAGGGCCAGAAAGATGGCACAGAGTAAGACACTGGCCTTGCATGCAGCCGACCTCATTTCAGTCTCTGGCACCACAGACAGTCTCCCGAGTGCCGCCAGGAATTATCCCTGAGCACAGCTGGGTATGCTCAGAGATAAAAACAAACAAAAAAGAAAAGAAAGGAAAAGCAGGAGTCAGGGAAGCAAGAGACAGGATCTGCCAATTAATCCCATGTCTAACCAGGCAAGCCACTGTTTCTAGCACTCAGTTGACTCAGCAGTGAAATGGGAATACACCGAGGAGAAGTCAAAAGTGCTCTTATCGCAGCCACCAGTGGGTGGTAGTGTGGGTTATTTCTTCATCTAATGGGTTAAAATTAATCCTGCTGTATGTGAGTGAAATATAGAATCTTGTTTCCTTCAGAGGAAAATCCAGGCAGCTGTCGAAGTGTATAACGCAGATGGTTATTTTTAGTTGAGAACTAGTCTACTTGTAAATGAACTTAAAATACAGTCAGATCCACATTGTGGTGACATCTTCAAAGTATTGTGTTAAAAGCAGGAATGAATCATGTGTTCTCTTTTTGTCTAATTGTAACACTTTTATTCAGTCTCTTCAATTAAAAGCCTTTGCTGGGATGGAAGATTTGGGCCATAAGATATGCCTCAGGGAAGCTATGTTACAGACAAGATGGTGATTCTCAGAGAAGAAGCAAGACCAAGCCTGGCCCTGTCCTTGGTCGTGTCAAAGCCATGTCGAAGCATTCAGTTCCTCATGGTGTGCTGGGAAGTCACGCAGCCTCCCTGCACTGGCAACCGGTCATCCGACGCGAATGTGGAAGCAGGAGGCCACCTCCTCTTGGTACTTCTTCCTCTTCCATCACTTGCTCTTCAGCCACTCTGGATGACCCAGCGTCCCATTTCCAGACATTTCTCTGAAACTCTCTGACGGCCTGCTAAGTCATCTGGATCTGTGCCGCCACTGAGGTTTCCGCCTTCCCGAATGATGTTTAGGGGAGGAGGGAAGTCGTGGGGGAACAGAGAGAAAAGGGAAGACTCCCGAGGTGTTTAGAATTCGCAGGCCCCAAGGCAGTCCTTGTCCTGGCCTTGGTCGGATGCTCCACTCTGGGGGATGCTGGTCAGACCCAGAGGCTGTCCGCTCCGAGAGGATCGGCTTTCTGGGCATCAGTCGTGCCTGCATCTGCAGCTGAGAAGATGCCTCTGACCCCAGACGCATCTTCGTCACTTCCTGGCAGCAGCCAGTGTAACTCTGTGAGAACTTGGATGATGAATGGGCCAAGAGGGACACTGGACTTGTGTAGCATAGACAAGAAAAGACTCAGGGGAAACTAGGTCACGCTAGTGGGGATGAACATCTTCTTAGTTTCACCGAGGTGAGAGTGCGAGAATGAGCTTGGATTAATACATAAACCATTTCTTTAGCTACCAGAAGGACTTCCTTCCTGGTCTAAGGAGTTTTTATAGTGTTTAGGGGAAGTCTGACCATTGTTGTTTGTGAGTGAAAAGGGAAATGCGGTGTTTTTATTGGCCGTGTGGTGGAGCGTCCATGTCTTGCTGCTGTCTCTTGAGGACACATTCTAATTCCATTCCTGGAGAGATCCAAGTGCTTATGTAATGTCTACTTAGTTGCCTTAGTAGTGAACCACCATCAACGCAATGGACCAAAACTACCTTCAGCCATGTGGTTTCTTCATTATCATGGGTTTCTTTTGGTTGATAAATATTCTGGCTCTCAGATGTAAAATACCACACTGGAAAATAAACTGTAAGTGGTGAAATTTGTTTTAGTATTTAGCTTAAAAGTATATCGTTTTCTCTGTTGCACCAAGCGTCAAGGGTATCAAGTGTCAAGGCTCTAGTATGTCTAAACCTTTTCTTCCTTTGTGCACAGAATGTGACTACCAAGCATGCCTTTGGCCGGGAATCCTGTCATATTTATTAGGTTTTTACCCAGAAAGAGTCTTTGTACGTGGAGTGTTCCCCTTGGTAGGCTTTCTGATCATAAAGACTGAAAGATCTGGCTACATCACTCTGTTGAATTTTTCATTCCTTACGCTATTCAAACATGTTAGTGTGTTCTAGAATTACTCTAAAGACCTTTGGTGTTGAAGGGATCCTGTATTTCTTTCCTCCCTCTCTCCCTCTTCCCCACCCCCCTCACCCCCCACCATCTCTCAGAGTCATATTTATTTTAGTGCCCAGATGCTTTTCAATGATACAAGACGGACCCAGTCACCAGAATGGATGATTCCTCTAGACAGGCAGCATGGAAGGCCATGCCCATGCCTGCTGGCTGAGATCGTGCTACTTAGACATCCTAAATGATGGACCTTTGACCTGTGGCTTTTGTTCCTGGTTTGTCTGATTGTCTGACTTCTACTCACCAGACTGTCTAGGATCTTTTCATCTGGTACACATAGGATTGGGCCTGCTTCTTTGAACTAAACGGGCATTAACGTCTTAGTGAACCAGAGTTTCACATCTCTCATTTTCGGATAAATATAAAAACTATACGCATATACCTACCTAATTTATAAAAATCAAAAGGCAGCCTATCATTGGGAAAAATTTTCTTGCTGACTTCCCGTCTCTCTGGCTGCTCCCCTGAGTTTTCCTCCTTTTTCATCTTCGTAGTGTCCTGAGAACATACGTCCTTTCTTCTTCCTCCATCTTCTTTTCCCTTCTCATCTTTTCCTGCCACCTCTGTAGAGAAAGTTCAGTTTATTGTCTAATCACAGCCGTTAGGCCATAGAGCGTGAGAGAAAGGTCTCTTTCCTAGAACACTGATGTCCGTGCTGTGGCAGGCACTCTGAGCTCCTTAAGCTGAGGGAACCCCCTTTGTCAATTCTGTGTTGTGCAGTTACAGAACCAATCGTGCACTAGCCAGTCCCTCCCAGACTGCACCACATAGGAGTATTCACTGCTCTGGAGGGTGGTCCTTGGCTATTTAAGCCATTTGCCTTTTTCTCAAGCAACTTCATTTCTCTTTCATCTCAGTGGTCCCCTGCTTCCTCAACTCCCACCAACTTCTCAACTCCGGTCCTGGCTACTTCCTTGCTCAGCTCTGTGATTGGTGGCCATAGAGGGAAAATCAAGCAGTTGGGGTAGGATCCCTGGATGGGTGAAGCAGCAGCAGCATGTGTGTGTATGCATCAGTGAGAGTGTAGCCAGAGAATGTCATTGCTGCTTTCAAATAGTGTCCTGTCTGTACCTTGCTGTGGGGACATCCAGAAAACATGATCGGGAAGCTAGGCAAGCAACTCGGGTGGTTTGACTTACGATTCATGTGTGCAGTCCCGGGTTCTATCACCAGCACCACCACCCTACCACCACACACACACTACCCCATACCCTCCATGTAGGGGTTCCCCTCGGAGACTTCCTGAGTGTGAGGAGAGACATAGGTTAGTCTGTTGAAAAGGACAATGCTTAGCACATAGGAGAAACTGATTTAGGAGTGGAGAGCGAGGCAGCTAGTTAGGTGGTTTCAAAGCCTAAGTCTAGCTGGACCATCAGAGTTCATCTCCTGGATGATGGGGAGAGATTTCTGCAATTCTTTGGCTATTGGCAGACTGATGCTCTGATGCACCAGTCGTATAGAGGAAGAAGGGAAGGAAAACTGGGGATTAAAGAAAATGAGAGTTGGGGCCAGACCAGAGAGGTTGAGGTGTTTGCCTTGCATGGACTGACTCTTGTCTGCTCCCTGGCACTGCAGATAGCTTCCGTATCAGTGCCAAGAGTGAGCACAGAGCCAGGAGTAAGTACTGAGCATTGCTGGGTATGCCCCCACTGAAAAGGAAGAGGAGAGGAGAGGAGAGGAGAGGAGAGGAGAGGAGAGGAGAGGAGAGAAGGGAGGGAATGAATGGCATCTTGGGTCTAAGGGAAAGGAGAAATGGAGTTGGTGCCGCCTATTCCATGACTTTAGGGTAGGGTTGGTCTAAAGAGAAGACAAAGACCATCAGAATTTTATGCCAGGAAATTGCCAAACATGTTTGGCATAAAATAACTATGATTTGTGACTATATATGATTCAGATTTTCTGATAATAAAATTTCAGGTGACCTGGGCTTTACCATATACAGTTCTGTCTCCTTAGTCACAGAACTTCACAGGTCTAAAGAGAGTACAGGAGTTAATGTGCATGTCTTAAACGCAGCTGACCCCAATTTGATTCGGGCACTGCATGGCCCCCCAGGGATTGAAAATTGAGGCCCTAGAGGCCCCTGAGACCCTCCAGGTATGGCCTGGAGACCCAGTACTGCCAGATCTGCCCAGGGAATTCCCAGCAATGCAGGGCCCAAGCAGCACTGCCTCTCTGGGCCTCTTGAGTATTGTTTGGAAAGCCTCCCGCCACAGACACCAGTAATAAAAATTTGCATGTGAGGGGACCCTGGCTATAGTACGCAGGTAGGGAACTTGCCTCGCATGTAGCCAATCAGGTTCAATCCCCAGCATCCCATATGGTCCCCCGAGCACCTCCAGGAGTGATTTCTGAGTGCAGAGTCAGGAGTAACCCTTGAACATCGATGGGAGTGCACCCCCCAAATAATTTGCCTAGGAGGAGGAAGGGGTAATGAATCTTTAATTTCTGAAAATGGTGTGTGTTGTAGCTATTATTCTTTGTCTAGGATATGGCAGACTTTTTAGTTAGTCATAAATGTTTTATAATAATCTGATGTACTTTCAGTTTCAGGCTTGGTCTGCATCGCAGGCTGTGACAGTAGTGACCTTCATGGCATCTCTGATTTCAGATCCTCCAAAAAAGACAATTTCCAATTCTGCTTCATCTACACTCACCCAACTCTCAAGATTTTTATCTTTAAAAAGGAGTCAGTAGTTCCCCTTGAGAAATTCTCTGTCAATTTCTACGTTTAGTTTTCGAGTTTTCCTGGCTCATAGGAGAGGGCTTGATTCCAGGACTCTTAACTCCCCTTTTAATTAGCGTCATAATTTCGATTCTGTATGTTTTCTTCACTGTCTATCAGTGTCTCTAAATTTCTTCTTTTGCTACTTCTTCTTTGATAGTCTGTTTCTTCATTTTCCTTACTTTTGAATTAGAAATGATATGACTATATTTAATGAATAATATTTACCATAAAAGTAATATTAAATCAGAAAAATTTTAGATCAGTAGTTACAATCTTAAAATCACCTTCCAGCACCCAGAGAGAGAGAGAGAGAGTAGAATGGGTAAGACATTCTGCATTTTTCTTGAATTTCTTAGGTTTCCAAGCCACATCCTGGTAGGGCATTCAAGAACCCTGCTATTGCATGTTCCCAGCTATCTTGATTTTCTTTTGATTGTAGCTCTCTGGTCTCCCCTAAGGTCAAAGTTCTTTCTATGAATCCAGCTGACCAAATGATACATTATTTGCATTATTCCTGCCTTTACTGGATTGACTTTTTCTTTTTTTGCTTTTGGGTTATACTTGGCAATGCTTGGGGGTTACTCCTGACCCTGCACTCACTCAGGAATTACTTCTGGTGGTGCTCAGGAAACCATATTGGATGCCGAGGATCAAACCCATGGGATGTCAGTTGTGTGCAAGGCAAATGCCCTACACACTGTACTATCACTCTGGCTCCCACGTTGACTTTTTAAAACACCCTTTCTGCTTCTTTCTGTCAAACCTTTCAAGTTCCTAAAAACTGCCTATGGTGGTGAGAGGTCAGGGAGTTGGGTGGTCTGGATTGTCTCAGAAAGAGAGCTTTACTATTTTTTTTCTTTGTTTAGGGTGAAGGTTAAGTCCTACCAAGTCCTCAAGCTCACCCCATATTTCATTATAAAAAAACAGATATTTCAAAACAAAATAGACATGATTCTT